CGAGTTTTGGCTCCTGCTCACTTCTCTTTAGTCTAATCTCGTACCCTTATTATAGTGACTAGCTGTTAGCAATCCTGCAATCGCTCATTATCCACTTGTTTCTCCATGACATTGTCTTTTTAGAAAACCAGTCTAGTTTCTTATAGAATGTTTCATCTTCTAAATTAGGCATTGGCAAAAAAAACTTAAAGCTTAAAAACAGTTGAGTCCTACTAAGAGATTGTAAAACATGAATGTAAGGTCTGCCCCAGGCCACCCAGGCCCAGAGAAGACACTTCCCTACTTCTTGGCTAAGTTTCCACCCAGTATCTGTGTTACCTAGGTAACTGGCACAACTGGAAACAGTTATCTCCCTCAAATGCTAGGTCACGTCCTGGGCTGCCCCTAGTCACGCCTCCCATCTGACCATAAGAGGGTCCAAGGCCCTGAAGTCACATCTGGATCCAGGGTGGCCACACATTTCCCCTATCCCTGACACCTCTTCCTATCCCTGACCTAGGTAAGTCCTGGCCCTGGATGGGTTGCCCCTTTTCTGCCGTATGTCTCCACCATGCATGGCAGGGGCAGCAGTTCGGTAAATAAACTTCTTTTCCTGCCTGAATACTGATTGGTGTTCTCTTCATCAGCGACCTAATAAAACCTACCTACTTAATATACCTTACATTGAAGAGAAAGAAGAAAAAGGATGGATAAAGTAGATGATGAAAAGGGAAATTACATCTTGGAGAGCACATGTAGCCTGTAATACCTAACTAACATCTTTACTCTCTGGACCTTTTTGTGTGTGTGCCAGCCCTGGGGCTTGAACTCTGGGCCTGCGTGCTGTTTCTGAGCCCTTTAGCTCAAAGCGAGTGCTCTACCACTTGAGCCACAGAGCCACTTCCAGCTCTGTTTATTGGAGGTTCTAAGAGTCTCACAGACTTTCCTGAATGGGCTGGCTTCAAACCACAACCCTCACATCTCAGCCTCCTGAGTAGCTAGGATTACAGGTGTGAGCTAGGATTACAGTTGTGAGCCACTGGCACCAGCTGACTTTTTTTTTCTTTGCTTAAGGCTGATGCTCTCAGTGGAGCCACAGCTCCACTCTTGGCATTTGGTGGCTCAATGGAGATAAGAGTCTCATAGATTTTCCTGCCCAGGCTGGTTTCTAACCAAATGCTCAGATGTAAGCCTCTTAAGTAGCTAGGATTATGGGCATAAGCCACCAGTACCCAGGTTCTGTTTGGACCTTTGAAAGAGCTTGTCCACCTCTATTCTAGAGCCTTCTGCTTCCTTTTGATATTATTTCATTGGTATTTCAACTCCTTGGATTTGGAGAAATTTGGAAATAAGGTATGATATGGTGCTCACTCATATACCATATTTAGCCATGGAGCACTTGAAATGTGGCTAGTCCAAATTGAGGTGAGCTAGAATGGTGTCATGTACACATCTTTCAAAAACCAGAGTGTAAAAAGTAGGGTGTTTTCTTAGTAGTTGTGGGTTCATTATTGTGTGAAATAATACTATTTGGGATATATTAGACTAAACAAAATGCCACCTGTTTCTATTATCCAAAGTAATCACTAGAAACTTTGCAATTTACATATTCTATTTCTATCAGATAATAGTGGTCCAGAACCTTGACTAAAATCAGATTAAGGAAGTGAAGATCAGTGTTACTTAAGTGGCAGAACGCCAGCCTTGATTGAAAAAGCCAAACATGAGCATGAGGCCCAGAGTTCAAATACGAGTATTGACACAAAACAGCAATAATAAAAGTAAAGCAAAAAGGTCAGGTTAAATATCTTGGATGAGAACATTTCAATGCTGACTTAATGCACATGGACAGCATTGCATGATTGCCTGGCATACAGTATCAGGTGTGTCAGATGATCAACAGCACTAATAATCTAAGAGGCGGCTGATGAGGAATCATGCTATAAAGGCACATTTTTTTTTTTGCAATTGTCAATTTATTATTGTCATGAGATTATTGGTCCTCTAATGACATTTTTCTGTAACAATGAAAGTATCTTCTGGTGACAGTTACTACATTGGGTGATCAACTTTAGAATTTCTTTATAAATGTCTTCTTAACTAAAATTCTTTTCTTCATTTTTTAATACTTTTTAAGGACTATCTCAGTGGACACATCAATTTCTATTTACTCAGTTGATTATTGCTATTATTTTTAAACATTTGTATTTTCCTAACTTTGACTAGTGAGAGGTTTTCCAATCTACCTCCGGAATCTGTTTTTTTCTTTTTCTTTTTGTGCTTCTTTACTGTTTGGAGCAAGAACTCCAGTTTCACTTTGTTTATCTCTGTCTCAGAAGTAAAGCCAGCCATTTCTCAAGAAGCTTCACTAGAAAAGGAATAGTATTTGAAAACCAATATTTGAGCAGTAGGTGTGATCAGGACTACTTTCTGATTCTTTTCAGTAAAAATCACAGCTTCAAGATAAAATTTAAGAAATGACCAACTCATTCGATATTCTTAATGCCAACTGAACTTTATAGTTTTACTTAGTTTATTATTTTACTTATTTTATATTTGTGTGATTCTCTTTCATATTCATTGAAAGCCTTCTTTTCATAGAACAAGAATATATTTACTTATTCCAATAAATAACAATTACAATAATAATATTACAACTAACATTAACTTTAATGAATAAAGTTAATTTGTATTTCTCTGTCTTTAGAGTTTAACTCAAGTCGTATAATCAGAGTAACTTAAAATATTTATGTAAAAGATGTTTTCTGACAGGCACTGGAGGCTGGAGCCTGTAATCTTAGATACTCAGAAGGGTGAGATCTGAAGATCACAATTCAAAGCCAGTTTTGCAAAGGAATCAAATGTAGTTGAATTATAAACAGGCTCGAGCCCAAGTATTGTGTCAATTACAAGCATTGTCTGTAAACACAGCATGTACAATTGCACTGATCTGGGTAGCAGATATTTCAGTTTGGCCTCACTGAGTACGAAGTAGCCCAGGGGCATTCAGTATAATAATCAGATTTGGTGGTGTCAATTAGCATATAAGTGATAAGGGTTGGTAGAAGATGTTTGAGGAGGTATTGTAGAGTAAAAGTGTTTTATTTTATTGGGTCTGGTCGTGGGGACTGAACTCTGGGCCTGGGCACTGTCCCTCAGCTCTTCAGCTCAAGGCTAGCACTCTACCACTTGAGTTACAGTGCCACTTCCGGCTTTTTTCTTTTTGCTTATGTGGTGCTGAGGAATTGAACCCAGGGCCTCAGCCATGCAAGGCAAGCACTCTACCACTGAGCCACCTTCTCAGCCCCAGTAAAAGTGTTTTAGATTGTAATCTTGGGAGTGGGGAGGAGGTATTGGTAGTGGTGAAGCAATCCCCAAAGGCCAGAATAGGAACTCAGTGTTTTCAGCCAAGCATATATGAAGAAAATCCCAGAAGACAAGCGGCTACTGTCCAGTCAACAGTATAACAATATAGTTTTCAGCATCAACTACTGATGAAAGTTTAGGTGAGACAAAGTCTAAAATGGATCCACTGGATTTCTCCTTTGCTGGAGCAGATTGGGTGAAGTAGTGGAAACAGTAGCTCCCTGTGTGGGGTGAAGAAGTATAAGCTCTACCAATGATCCTTGAAACCTCTTGGCTTTTACCAGCTGAAACACAACAACACCCCTCAATTTTCATCTGAGAGGAAGGAAAGCCAATTTAGTCTTTTTTTTTTTTCTCATAATTTTTTTCTTAAATCTTTGTTGTTTCTTAAATACTGTTATTTGAACAGTATCCATGGAAGACTGGTAACAGGACCTCCTTAAATTGTCAAAATCTTATAAGATCCTTCATGTTATCAAAACCCATGGGTGTTCAAATCTCCTATATAAAATTGCAGAGTATTTACAGATAGGCTGTACATATCTGTATACTTTAATTCATCTTCGTTATTTATACTTAGTATTAGTACAATATAATGCCCTAAAGTCTTTATGATTTACAAAATAATGACGAGAAAAGAAGCCTATACATGTTCAATACCAATGAAATCTTTCTTTTCTTTTTATTTATTTAGTTTTTTGTGTGTGGAGCCTCACTTGCTTACCTCTTTAGCTCAAGGCTAGTACTCTACCATTTGAGCCATGTCTCCAGTTGTTTGCTGGTTTATTGGCAATAGGAATCTCTCAGATTTGTCTATCCTCGAAATACTAAGATCTCAGTCTCCTGAACAGCTAAGATCACAGGATGAGCTAGTGGAACCCGTGATGATGAAATTTCTTAAAAAAAAAAAAGTGACTCACAATTGGAAGAATCTGTGGTAGTAGAATGCTTAAACATGGAGAGCCTGATGTATTAGAATCCTACATCAAGTGCTTTTGGATCTAGCAACTAGTGCATGCTTGGTTATTCTAGGTTTATCATTAATAAGGCAATTACATAATAAACAGTGTCAGTACAGTAATGTGGCAATATATTTTATAGTCTTCCTTAAAATGTTCCATGACTTTCAAATCCTAGTTTTCTCAAGTAGGAGGGCCACACCGTAGTATAATTTTTCAAACCCAAGTGACTCAAGTGGTGGAGCTCTAGCCTTGAGCAGAAACAAAAAAGCTCAGACAGTGTCTAGGACTGGCACAAAATGAATAACAATGAGTGAATAACTATAAATACATAAAATATGGTATATATTCAGTGCATCTGCAGCCCTTTATCAGTTAAGGAAACCCAGGGCCAAATCAGGAACCACTTCATTCATTGTCTGCTGCTCTGTGATTCCAGGGTGATCCGCAGCCGCCCGCCCATAACCACGCCCCCGCCCGCCCATAACCACGCCTCCTCCCTTCCCATAGCCACGCCCACCACGCCCCTTCCTCCCCACCCTCTCGCTTGGGGGCGGAGCTTGGCGGTGCCCCTACCCTCTAGCCCTCACTCTGGCGGCCGACATCTGGGCATTGCCGGAAGCGGACTGTCTCACGGAAGCAGCTGATTGGCTGATGCTGGTCATGCACCTTTCCCGGGTTTTCCGGAGTTGCTTCGGTGGAGATGGCGCTGAGTTCTGACCATGGCCCGGTCCAATCAACATCTTCGGCAGTTGCTGGGACCGCTGCTCCCGCACAAGGATGAGGTGGAGGAGGACGGTGATGACCCGCGGGAGGAGGTGGAGGAGGATGAAGACTCCGTGTTTGTCGACGCGGAGGAGCTCTGCAGTGGGGGCATCAAGGCTGGCAGCCTCCCCGGGAGCATCCGGGGTGAGCAGGGCCCTGGCCCCAGGGACTGGTTGGTAAGGGTGGGGAAGCATATTTTCTGTTCTTCTATCTGAGTGAGACCCGGGTCGCTGCTGTGTCTTAAGCCGTGGGCTGGCTGTTTAGCTGTTTCATCCTACTTAGGATAAAATACTGCTAATATTAGCAGTGCCTTTTGAGCACATACTGTGTTTTAAGCTTGTTTAAAACAGTTCATTTGCTGTTCAGTTATTCAAGGAAGTTTTACAATTGGAAAAGCAGTGGCTGTACAGCTTCCCGGAATCTAGACTTTTAAGTACTGGAAGAAAAAGTGAGGATGGCACTATTTTTATATAGCCACTAACCACGTGACATGCAGCTAGTGCAACCGAGAGGCTGATTGTTTTTTTTTTAAATTAAAAAATTTACATTTGAACAAACCAAACCAAAAAGTAAGTCGGGTGCCAGTGGCTCATGCCTGAAATCTTAGCTACCCAGGAGGCTGAGATGTGAGGGTTGTAGTTTGAAGCCAGCCCTGGCAGGAAAGTCCGTGAGACTCTTACCTCCAATAACCTACTCAGAAAAAGCCGGAAGTGGCTCTGGGGCTCAAGTGGTAGAGAACTAGTCTTGAGCAAAAGAAGCTCAAGGACAGAGCTTAGGCCCAGAGTTCAAGCACCAGGACTGGCAAAAACAAACAAACAACACACACACACACACACACACACACAACAACAAACTACAAACAGGTGGGCAGCACAGGTTTAGACACAAACGTTCCAAATCTCTGTGGAATGTGGAATGTTTGGTCCTTCATTCCTTCTAAAGTATTATCAACTGTCTGTCATGTTCCCTGCATTAGGTGCTGGTGGCATCAGAGAGAGAAAAGGAAGTCTCCATCAGAAGGGAGCCAATCTTTAGTGAATTAGAGTTTCTTTAATCATAGAAATAAGTATAATATTAATTAATACTTAAAAGGAATATTTTTTTTATTTTTATTTTATTTTATTGTAAAGCTACTATACAGAGGGTTACAGTTACATGAGTGAGGTAATGAGTACACTTCCTCTTGAACATTGTTACCCCCTCCATTGTTTTCCCCCTACCATCCCCTCCCTCCCTCCCTTCCCCGAGGTTCTTTAAAAGGAATATTAATAGCACTGTGATTAGTCATTCCTCAGATGTGGAAGTGACAATTAACATGAGGTCTGTAGTAAATGTAAGAGCCTTAGTAAGGAGAGGAAAACATTTCAAGGAGAAGCAACTGGGCAAAAGGCCCTATGCTGAGAGGTGTGGTAATATTGTCTGAAGTCAGAGAGGGCTGGGTTTGGAAAGGAGAACAGCAGATACCTGCCACATACTGTGCTTACCTTTTGGAAAATAAAGAAGAATGAAGCATTGTAGACAGCACAGAGTAAAAGAGGAGGCCATGTAGACAGGTAGGCAGAATAAAGTGTTACATGTATCCCAGGAGGTATTTGTTGTTGTTTTTTTTAATTTTTTTTATTGTGAAAATACTGTACAAAGGGGTTACAATTACATGGGCAAGATAATGAGTACATTTCTTATCAAGCATTGTAGCCTCCTCCTTTGTTTCCCCTTCCCATCCCTTCCCATCCTCCCCCTGCCCTCCCCCCCACCCAATACTCCTCTCCCCCCCCACCAAAGTTGTAAAGTTGGTTTTCTACACTCTCTCATTGTTGCAGTGTGGTCCACCTGTATCCCTATTTAAACGATTTGTTTTCCCCCCTCCCCTCCACAAATTATAACAACATCAAATACAGTGAAAGCAGGGGTTATACCATGGGGGAGGGACATACAAAGCAACAAAGAAATAATCTTATAATTATGTTAGAAACAATCGCATGAAAGAAAAAAACATTTGAATGTATATCTTAGGGTTCATTTCCCTAACATCAACTTATCTGACCTTTTCTGCTTGACTCAGACATACATTAGTTATTGCAAATAAGGAAAACCATGGGACCTATGTTTCTTTGGGCCTGGCTTACTTCACTTAATATAATTTTTTCCAAGTCTTTCCATTTCCTAACAAATGGGGCAACGTCATTCTTTCTGATGGAGGCATAGAATTCCATTGTGTATATATAGCACATTTTCTTGATCCATTCATCTACTGAGGGGCATCTGGTTGGTTCCATATCTTAGCTATGGTAAATAATGCTGCAGTAAACATAGGTGTGCTGGTAGCTTTAGTGTGGTCTTGTTTGTGAACATTTGGGTAAATGTCCAAAAGTAGGATTGCTGGGTCATAGGGGAGCTCTATGTGGAATCTTTTGAGGAACCTCCATACTGCTTTCCAAAGTGGTTGAACAATGCAGTAAGGTTCCCTTCTGTCCACATACCCTCCAGCATCTGTTGTTATTAGAGTTCTTGATTATAGTCATTCTAACTGGGGTGAGGTGGTATCTCAATGTTGTTTTGATTTGCATTTCTTTTATGGCTAGGAATGTTGAGCATTTCTTCATGTGTCTATTGGCCATCCTTCTTTCCTCTTCAGAGAAGTTTCTCTTTTAAGTCTTTAGCCCACTTATTTATTGGGCAGTTGTTTCTTTGAGGATTTGTTGTTGGGGGATTTAATTTTTTGAATTCCAGGTATATTTTAGATATGAGACCCTTGTCCGTTGTATGGCTAGTGAAGATCTTCTCCCAATCCATGGGCTTTCTTTTTTTTTTTTTGGGTCCGGTTGTGGGGCCTGAACTCTGGGCCTGGGCGCTGTCCCTCAGCTCTTCAGCTCAAGACTAGCTCTCTACCACTTGAGCCACAGTGCCACTTCCGGCTTTTTTTCTTTTTGCTTATGTGGTGCTGAGGAATCGAACCGAGGGCCTCAGGCATGCAAGGCAAGGGCCCTACCACTGAGCCACCTTCCCAGTCCCAATCCATGGGCTTTCTATTGAGCTTGCTAGCTATGTCCTTTGCCATGCAGAAGCTCTGCAATTTCATGCAATCCCATTTGTCCAACCTTTCTTTGATTTCTTGTGTTTTTAGGTCTCTATTAAGAAAATTTTGGCCTGTGCCAAGGAGACCTAGGGTTTCTCCTATTCCATCCTGTAATGTTTTCAGAGTGTCTGCTTTGACTCTGAGGTCTTTGATCCATTTGGAGTTGATTCTGGTGCAGGGTGATATATAAGGATCGAGCTTTAGTTTTCTACAAGTAGTTAACCAATTTTGCCAGCACCATTTACTGAAGAGACTGTCTTTCTTCCATTCTATTTTTTTTTTTTTTAGCTTCCTTATTGAAGATTAGATGGCTATAGGTCTGTAGGTTCATTTCTGGGTTTTCAATTCTATTCCAGGAAGTATTTGTATAGGCTGCTGTGTGGGAGGATGGGGGGGGGGTGGGAACGGAGAAAGGAATGGGTAATAAAACATCAGGAAAGAGGTTTGTGAGTTCCTTTAATTAACTTTTTTTCCCTCTAGTTACCATTCCCGATGAACTCACTGGAGAGCAATGTGAAGTGCTTGGACGTTTTCCAATAACTGGTCCTTGGTGGCGAGTGAAAGTGCATGTGAAGCCAGTGGCATCCAAGAGTTATCAAGTTCAAGGTCACCCATCATACTTTTTACAGTCTGACATGTCACCACCAAATCAAAAAAGTATCTGCTCCCTCTTTCTGAAAGAGTGTGAGGTCCCCGTTGAGACCATAAGTAAGTTTTTAGCTTGGATAAAGCACGTATCAAGCTATAAACACCTGAACTTTGAAAATCTTCCGGACACATTAAGAACTTTCTACAGAGAAATCCAAAGGAAGGATACAAAAAAGTCTGCGAGGAATGAGCAAGAAGATTTGGCATCAGAGGATAAGATTAGTCTTCCTGTGGAAAAGCAGCGTAAGTAGGATTTTTTTTTAAATTGAATTTTAGTGTAATTAAGATGCTTTATGATTGTGTTTAAAATATTAATATTAATGTTGAACATCTCTACTCTGAAGATCTAAAGTGCTCCAAAGCTGAGTACGGTTATGGTATCACAAAGTGATGCTTTCTGACTGAGGCCCACATATTTTGCTTCCTGCATAGAATTATTAAAAAAATTGTCTAAGATTATGCTCAGGCTGTGAGTCAGAGGTGTGTATGAGACATAATGGATTTCATGTTTAGACTTGGATCTCATCCCCAGGGTATTATGTTTGTGTAGCTATTCCAGATTGTGAAAAAATAGAAAATCTGAAGGATTTCTCCTGTCAAGCATTTCAAATAAGGGATGCTAGTCCTGTGTTCCTTTTTGAAATTGGTTTGAAGAAAAGATATCAATGTTGCTTTTGAGTTCGTAGTGTGAAGTAATTGTGTATGGTATCTTAAGATCTTTTCAGTGCTTTTCTGGATTTTAGATGTGATGCTGTTACTCTGACTTTGTGTTAGAAAGCAACGTGAATCATTAAGGAAAAGTTCAAGCTGGATGGCAGTGGCTCATGCTTGTAATCCTGGCTGCTCAGGAGGCTAAGAGCTGAGGATCATGGTTTGAAGCCAGCCTAGCAAGAAAGTTTGAGATTCTTCAATTAACAGCCTCCCCTCAACACTCCCCCCCCACCAAAAAACCAAAACAAAACAGGAAGTGCAGCTATGACTCAAGTGGTAGAATCCTAGCCTTGATGGAAAAAGCTCAGGGAGAGAGAGTACCCAGGCTCTGAGTTCAGGCCTTAAGAGCGCGTGTGCATGCATGCGTATACACATATACACACAGAGTTTAATCTTTTTAAAGCAGAGGAGAGGTGCAAGGCTAGGAGTAATCCATTTTGGAAAGATTTTAATTCATAATGACTTAAAATACTTTTTATCTAGACATTTACATATATATGTGTAAAATTCTGGCACATCAAATATGACCTTGAGAATGGAAGATTTATTATTATATATATATTTTTTTTTGTGTAAATAATTGGGCTTAAACTCAGGACCTGGGCACTGTCCCTTAGCTTTTTGACACAGAGCTCCACTTGATTTGTTGCTTATTACTGGAGGTAAGAATCTTATATACTTTCCTCCCTGGGCCGGCTTTACATTGCTATCCTCAGTAGTTGGGATTATAGGCATGAGCCATTGTATCAAGTGAGAATGAAAGAATTGTAATTAATTTGGGTAAATGGTTATAGAAATTAATGTATAAGTTATGTTTTGTGCTTAGTTTTAAGTTTACCTGAGTTAAAATTTTTATTCTGGTTGTGTTACAAACAAAAGAAACAAGTAGTAATTATTTATACATTTAAAGATCTAAAGTTTTTAAAAATTTTATTGTAAATATGATGTACAAGGGATTACAGTTACATGAGTAAGGCAATGAGTACATTAGTTGTGGATCATTATTATCCCTTCCCTAGTTGTTTTCCCACTATCCCTTCTTTTCCTCCCCCTCCCTTCCCCAAGTTCCGAAGTTGTAAAGTTCATTTCCAATATACTGTCTTGTGGGTATCCTTGTTGCAATGGATCATCCTGTGTCCTTGTTTCAGTGTTTTGTTATTCCCCTTCCCCTCCCCAGATTAGACAAATGTATGTACAAGATGCAGGATACCAAAATCAAGTACAGTGACAACAAGGGATATGCCATAGAGGAAAGAACATACAAAGGAAACAACAACAACAACAACAAAAAATAAAATCACATGGTACATTTAAAACAGTAACAATAAAGACAGACTTCTTGTGTCCATATCTTAGGGTTCATTTCACTTAGCATCATCTTTGTGGTCATATGTACATGGCTTTTGAGCTTTTCAGCTCATCTGATAAGATTATCCTATATGTATACTAATTATTGCAAATAAGGGAAACCATGGGACCTAAATTTCTTTGGGACTGGGTTACTTCACTTAATATGTTTTTTTCCAAGTCTTTCCACTTCCTAACAAATGTGGCGGTGTCATTCTTTCTGATGGAAGCATAGAATTCATATATATATATATATATATATATATATATATATATATATATATATATATATATATATATACCACATTTTCTTGATCCACTAATCTACCAAGGGGCATTTGGATTGGTTCCATATCTTAGTTGTGGTGAGTAATGCTGACATAAACAATGTTGTACTGGTAGCTTTAGTTCATAAAGTTTTAAAATTAAACACAGCTCAGTACCAACTCAGTATCAAACAACAGTTGTTATATCAGTTCTCTTGCTGCTTGAAGTACATTTTTGAATTTGATTTGGATTTCTTAAACCAGTTGTGCTAAATGAGAAAGTCCTTCAAATCCTTCTGTAGGCCCATTTGTGTTTTAATTTGTTCTTTTCTGTTATCCTGCAGTTCCGTTTATAAATGTAATGAGAGCTTTGCAGTTTCCCAAAATAATGGAATTCCTTCCAATTCTTCTACCACGACACTTTAGACAGCTCATAAACTCGGGTTCTGGAGCTGTGTTGGAAGCCATAGAAGAGATTTTAGGTACAGATCCATGGAAATTGGGATTTAGTAAAGTAAGTAAGACATTTTGTTCAACATTCAGTAATTCTCTGTAAGGCGAGGTCTTGAAGATTTGATAAGTTTTTCATTTCTTTCAATAGAAAATGTTTTGTGTGGATCCTAGTGTTGATTTCTGTTTGAATTTTACAAGTACACATAAAACTTCATATGTCTGTAACTCTTAGGCTTCTATAAAGTCAATAAATTTATGAATGAGGGGCTGGGAAGGTGGCTCGGTGGTAAGAGTGCTTGTCTTGCATGCCTGAGGCCCTGGGTTCGATTCCTCAACAGAACAGAAGCAGAAAAAGACGGAAGTGGCGCTGTGACTCCAGAGGTAGGGAGCTAGTCTTGAGCTGAAGAGCTGAGAAAAAGTGCCCAGACCCAGAGTTCAGGCCCATGACCTACAAAATACATAAAAAAAAAAAAAAAAAAAAAATTATGAATGAAAAGCAAGATCACAAAGTGTGTGACATTTAGATGATTAGTATTGATTTAATTATATAATTGAATATGACAGATTTTTTTTGTAACAAAACTGTTACTTCAGCTTGAATGTAGCTTTCATTGAAGACAAGGCCTAATGAGTTTGGCAATCTATTCTCCTGTGCAGTGTAGTTTCCCACTTTACAATATTAACTATTGAAAACTCCCATCATTCTTGAGGATTTCATGATATTGTTTGATTTGTAGTTGGTATAATAACATCATTTATAAATGAGTCCATTTCTGTTATTATTGAGACCAAGAGTAGAAAAATAACTTTGAGGCTTCATTGGTGTTGGAATCAGTTTTCTTCTTCTTTTTCCTTTTGGGCCAGTACTGAGGCTTGAGCTCAGGGTATCATACTCGCATTGACTTTTTTTTTTTAAACTCAGGCTGGTGTTCTACTACTTGATCCACATCTTCAGTTCTGTCTTTTTACTGGTTACTTGGAGATGAGTCTCAGGGACTTTTCTGTTCTGACTGGCTTCAAATGTCCTCAAATCTCAGCCTTCTGAGTAGCTAGGATTACAGGTGTGAGCCACCAGCCACTTGGAGTTCAGTCTTGATAGTACTTCATTTTAAGGTAGTTTTCCAAGTCAATATACAATTAAGAAATTCTGAGAAGTATGAGAATAACAAAGTTAGTCCTTGTGTCACAGGTCTATAATTTCAGTGGACTTTGAAAAACTCAGAAACTTATATTATCATTGTGTATTTATATGGTAGAGAAGAGAGGTAGAGTTCCAAGATGTTGGAAGAGAATAAAAACTTACCTTTTTGTTAAAAAGTTATCAGCCAGGTTCAGATAGCTCACACCTGTCTGTAATATTAGCTACTCAGGAGGCTGAGATCTGAGAATCTCGGGTTGAAGCCAGCTGGGGCAGTAAAGTCCCTGGGAGAGTCTTATCTTCAAATAACTTCTAAAAACTGGAAGTGGAGCTGTGGCTCAAAGTGGTAGGGCACTAGCCTTGAGCAAAAGAGCTTAGGGACAGTGCCTGGGCCCTGAATTCAAGACCCACAACCAACCGACCAACATACATAATACATAAATAAGTAAGTAATCAGTGGTTCATATTTGTAATCATAGCTACTCAGGAGGCTGAGATCTAAGGATCATGGTTTGAAGCTGGCTTAGGCAGGAAAGTCCATGAAATGCTTATATTCAGTTAACTACCAGACAGCTGTGAATGTAGTGCTGGTGCTGTGGCTCAAAGTGGTAGAACACTACCTTTGAGCTGAAAAGCTCAGGCCAGAGTTCAAGCCCATGACCTACCAAAAAAAAAAAAAAAAAGAAAGATTTTGAAAGTGGCACTGTGGCTCAAGTGGTAGAGTAGTGCTGGCCTTGAGCAAAAGAAGTTCAGGGACAGTACTCAGGCTCAGAGTTCAAGCCCCAGGACTTAAAAAAAAAAAGTGTTTCTGCCAAAACAAACAAACAAACAAAAAAACCTGAATGTGGAGCTGTGGATCAGCTGGTAAAGCACAAGCCGCAAGTGAAAAAGCCAAGAGATGGTGCCCAGGCCCTGAGTCCAATTATCAGTATTGACACAAAATGAAACAGCACGGGCTAGAAATGTGTCTTTGTTGTAGAGTGCTTACCTGGCATGCACAAAGCCCTAGATTGGATTCCTCAGTACCACATAAACAGAAAAAGTCGCAAGTGGTGCTGTGGCTCAAGTGGTAGAGTGCTAGCCTTGAGCACAGAGAGGCTCAGGGACAGTGCCCAGGCCCTGAATTCAAGCCCCAGGATTGGCAAAAAATAAAAAAAATAAATAAAACAAGAAGACTATGTACAATGCTTTTATAAATTATATTTTTTAATAAATTACAATTTTAATTAAAAGTTATACAGATCTTGGGGTTGGAGGTGTGGCTTAGATCATAGTGTCAGCCAATGTTGCGTGTTAGTAACCATCAGATACTGAGTTTGGATCCCAGTCTAGAACCAGAAAAAATGTTCCTCAGATCTCTAATCACAGATTAGTAATTAAAAATATTTAGTGATGCTTTAGGTATAATTTTTCTTCTGTATGGTATGGCTCAGATCAGAGTGCCAGCCAGTGTGCAAAAGCAAGCATCAGATACTGAGTTTGAATCCCAGTCTAGGACAAAAAAAAGTTATGTAGATTTCCAATGACAGTTCAGTTAATTAAAAAAAAAGTAATGATACTTTAGATATATAATTTTTCTTCTAAATTTAGTTGAAGTATGTATTTTTCTGGGGCTAATAATCATTATCAAATAATATTTTAACTTTGTTTTTTCTTTTTTGCCAGTCCTGCGGTTGAACTCAGGACCTTGGCACTGTCCCTGAGCTGCTTTTGGCTCAAGGCTAGCACTCTACCACTTGAACTATAGCACCACTTCCAGCCTTTTCTGTTTATGTGGTACTAAGGAATTGAACCCAGGGATTTATGCATCCTAGGCAAGCACTCTACCGCTAAGCCACTTTCCCAGCCCTATTTTAACGAATTCTAATAGCATGCATTACTATTTGTAACTCTTATGAAGCAACCTGGAACTTTGTTTTCCTAAAGATTACCTACAGAGACCTGAAGCTTTTGCGCTGTGAGGCCAGTTGGACAGCCTACTGTCAGTGCCCATCTCTTCTGCAGTTGATGAGTGATCTGGAGAAGAATGCATTGGTCATCTATTCCAAGCTGAAGCAGATATGTAGAGAGTACGGGCACACGTATGTTGAAGAAGCCGACTTAACTTCAGAATTGGCAGAGCAAATGTCTTTTCAGGATGCCTGGCAGTCTCTGAAATTTCTGAAGGATATTGGTGTGGTGACATATGAGAGGGGCTGTGTCTTTCTTTATGACCTTTACCAGGCTGAAAAGGGCATTGCTTTTTCCATATGTAGCCTGATACAGAGACCTCCGTGGCACTTATGTGTGGATGTTAAGAAAGTGTTGGCATCTCTCTGTACCACCAAACCAGAGGAGGCAAGAGATGAGGATGTGCTTGAAGAAAGTAAACCTGGTGAAACAAGATTGGAAAATTCCACAGATATTCTAAACTCGCAGGATGCTGATGACTTTATTTGGAGTTGTGAAAATGAAATTGATGCAGGAGTCAATGAAATGGAATTAGATCAGGACCAGGTGGCAGCTTTGGAAATGATTTGCGCCAATGCTGTGACAGTCATCAGTGGGAAAGGTGGCTGTGGGAAAACCACGATTGTCAGCCAGCTTTTTAAGTGCTTACAGCAGCTGGAAGAAAGAGAAGTGGAAAAGGCATGTGAAGATTTTGAACAAGACCAGGATGTTCCAGAAGACTGGGTTACCTTTACTGAGCAAAGTAAGCTGTCGATGGACAAGGCTATTGAGGTGTTGCTCACAGCACCTACAGGGAAAGCAACTGGCTTACTGAGAGAGAAAACCGGTCTTCCTGCTTATACGCTATGTCAGGTAAAGGCTGTGACAGTATATATCTATAGATGAAAAATTTGTCTTATTTTTTTTTCTCCTTTTAAAATACTTTTAAATTAATTAACAAAAAGGTATTTCAATTCAAAATATTCTACTCTATACCAGTTGGGAATGTGGATCATCCTTGATCCACAGTATCTGCACAGTATACACTTCTCATCTTTGGGATACTTTGTAGCTGTCTTGCTTACACATCACAGTACAGCTCAGTGTGATTTGTGGTGTCAGACATAGATCTTGTAACATATCTTCCATAGTTAACAGTTAATTATACAGTTAATAACAGTTAATTAATATAGGCTTCCTACCCTATAGTAGCTCATTATGTAAATCAGTGTTATTCAAAGCAGACATTGGGTAAACTTGGTGTTTTTGTGAGAATGGAGCCAGTGCCATAAGTCAGTCAGTACACCTCTTCAGTCACTGAGAAAGTCATAGGATAAAGACAATGTCAGGTGAATGAAATATGCTTAGTAATGTAATTAGTTCAGATCCTGGCACTCTGTCTGTTTCTCTTAGGCACTGGTTACAAACATGTCATAGCCCACAGATGGTATTCTGCATGTCACTGGAGCTGGAAGGAATAGATCGATATATCTATTTTTTATGAATGAAAGCTTCTTGGAGGTGAGGACTTTATCTTGTTCTAGAATAGTGCCTGGCAGATAGTCATGTAACAAAAACTTCAAATGTGTCAATATACTTTAAAATAGTATTGGCTTTAATTGAGTTGGAGTTTATTTGTTTATGCTGTTGTTGGGGCTTGAACTCAGGGTCTCACGTTCTCAGTTGGCTTTTTTTTTTCTGCTCAAGGCTAGTATTCCACCACTTGTGCCCCACCTCCACTTCTTTCTTTTTGCTAGTTTACTGGAGATAAGTCTCACAGACTATAGTGTCCCAGCTGGCTTCCAACCATGACCCTCAGGTCTCAGCCTCCTGAGTAGCTCAGATTACAGGCATGAACCACTGGTTCCCAGGAAGAGTCTTGGAGATTAAAGTTGGAAAGAGACGGAGACTTTGTTCTAGCCCTGATGTATCATTTTATATATAAAAGGACCAGGTAGTGGGAAGAGTTCTGAAGAGCTCTGAAAGTCATAGAAGCTCAGGTGAGGAGAAGAGTTTTTGATTTAGGGGGAAAGCCTTTCAAAAGGAATTAGGGAGAATTATCATAGAGTGTAGAGTTTAGGGGTGGCCTCAGCTGCAATGAAATCTGTATTTCAAAATAATTGGAAAATCAACTTGGTTTAGACACAGAATTCAGGTGAAATATTTTGGCATTGTTTGACTAAATTCTTGATGAGCCATGAAGCAGGCAGGTGAAGCCATCTTCCCCTTTATAGAAGAGCTAACCGAAGTTTGAGGTTTTAACAGATTGCTCAAGAGCTTGGTAAGAGCTAGAACTAAGATATAAATTGAAATTTCTGACCTCCTAGTTTGTTGCCCTGTCCTAATTTCTTCACTCATCATAGATTTTGCACACCTGGTGATACACCTTGAACTTGCTTTGCTAGGGTGCCTTAGGCTCCTAAACAAGGAAGGAGGAGCAGGTTTGAGCTTACATGGGATCACAGAGCCAGCAGACACCTCAAAATTACTTGCCATTCATTACCTTTCCCAGAGGAATGAGAAGAGACCTGGAGAAGGTCAAGGTAGCTTCTCAGTGGAAGGATTCTGATGAGTTTATGATTTTATTTCTTCATGCCTGATTAGTCTGAAGGATTGAATGAGGAGAGCCATCAGAGAGCAGTTATTACTGAGTTTCATAGCCTGCTCAACTCGGATCAATTGGTAGTATCTTAATATTTCCTTCCTTCCTTCCTTCCTTCCTTCTTTCCTCCCTTCCTTCCTCCCTTCCTTCCTTCCTTCCTTCCTTCTTCCTTCCTTCCTTCCTTCCTTCCTTCCTTCCTTCCTTCCTTCCTTCCTTCCTTCCTTCCTTCCTTCCTTCCTTCCTTCCTTCCTTCTTCTCTCTCTCTCCCTCCTTTCCTCCTCCTTCCTTGCACCCTCTCTCCCTTTTTTACTCCCTTCCTTCTTCCCTCCTGTCCTCCCTTTTTCTTTTGTTTTTCTCCTTTCCTTACTCCTATAGGAGTTTTGTTTTAGAATAACTTGCCTTGCTGTTAATGCCTTTAAATCTGACTTTAGATATGCATACTTTACTTACAGGTCAATTACAGCTTCTATTTATGGGACAAAAAGCTGGTGAACAAGGATATGCCATGGAAATTTTCTTCAGTTAGAGTTCTGGTTGTGGATGAAGGGAGTTTGGTATCTGTAGGAATCTTCAAATCGGTTTTAAAATTATTGTGTGAGCACTCCAAACTTTCTAAGCTTATTCTGCTTGGTAAGTTAAAATATTGATGCGGTTCATGGTTTTCAAGCATTGTGGGTTGGTGACATCAGTTCATGGTACCATTTGCTAAAGATGAAAAAACATTTTTTGGATGTCATGTCACAGCTACACAGAGTTCAATTCAGCCACTCTCCTAGTCAGTTTGGGTTGGTCTTTGTTTTGGTCAATGTAGTAAAAGACTTGAGCAATGAAATAACATTGGGAAGGGTTGTTCCTACTTAGTTAAATGATGGCTATTCAAATAGTAAAGATGACCCACTGCTTGGTGAGCCTAGTTTCTCAGGAGGCTGAGATCTGAGGATCACGGTTTGAAGCCAGGATGTGCAGTGAAGTCTGTGAGACTTTTTTTTTTTTTTTGGTCAGTTGTGGGGCTTGAACTCTGGACCTGGGCTGTCTCTCAGCTCTTCAGCTCAAGGCGAGCGCTCTACCACTTGAGCCAAATCCTTAATTTTTTGTTTTGGTCAGTTGTGGGGCTTGAACTCTGGGCCTGGGAGCTGTCCCTCAGCTCTTCAGCTCAAGGTAAGTGCTCTACCACTTGAGCCACAGTGCCACTATTTTTTTTTTTTTTTGTCGGTCGTGGGGTCTGAACTCAGAAGAGCTGTCCCTCAGCTCTTAAGCTAAAGGTTAGTGCCCTACTACTTGAGCCACAGAGCCACTTCCAGCTTTTTCTGTTTGTGTGGTGCTGAGGAATCGAACCCAGGGCTTCATGCATGGGAAGCAAGGATTCTACCACTGAGCCACCTTCCCAGCCCTCTGTGAGACACATCTCTAATTAACTACCCAAAAGTCTGAAGCCTAACCTTGAGCAAAATTGCTCGGGGACAGCACCTATGCCCTAAATGCAAGCCCCAGGACTGGCAAACACACACACACACACTCTCTCTCTCTCTCTCTCTCTCTCTTATGATTTGCAGTTAATAGCTCAAATTAGACTCACCAGACTGACAAACACACACACACACACACACACACACACACACACACACACACACACTTTCTCTCTCTTTCTCTCTTCTCTCATGATTTGCGGTTAATAGCTCAAATTAGACTCACCAGACTTCTAAGTCCCTCCAGTCTGGTGAAGTTTAATTCTATTCTGTTGGTTGATAGTGGATCTGTATACTATCTGATTTAATGAAGAAAATAAGTTATAACTTAAGAGTCAAATTCCAGGGCTGAGAATGTGGCTTAGTGGTAGAATGCTTGCTTGGCATGCATGAAACCCTGGGTTCGATTCCTTAGTACTGCATAAACAAAAAAAGCCGTAAGTGATGCTGTGGCTCGAGCAATAGAGTGCTAGCCTTGAACAAAAGAAGCTCTGGGACAGTGCTCAGGCCCTGAGTTCAAGTCCCAGGACTGGAAAAAGAAAAAGAAAAATCAAGAGTCCAATTCTATATAAGTACTGTTTTATAGGTATTTGGGGATAGTTGATAAGCATCTGATTCTATTAATGGTTTACACATTCTCCCTGTTTCTGCCTAGTGTATATTTTTCTTAACTCTAAGATTTCTTGTTTGTTTTAAAGATTTTTTTTTTGTGCCAGTCTTGGGACTTGAACTCAAGGCCTGAGCATTGTTCCCGAGCTTTTGTGCTCAAAGCTATTGTTCTGCCCCTTGAGCCGCAGCTCTACTTCTGGCTTTTTGGTAGTTAGTTGGAGATAAAGAGTCCCATGTACTTTTTTTTTTTTTACCTCGGCTGGCTATGAACTGTAATTAGAAGATTTCAGCCTCCTAAGTAGCTAGGATTACAGGCATGAGCCACCAGGGGTGGCTTCAACAAATTTTTTTTAAATAGAGCAATACATTGTAGTTAGTATCAAATACATTTAGTTTATATTTCGTGTGTTTATTTTTTAGAGTCATAGTTTTTTCCATTTCCTGGTAGGGTAATAGGCAAGATGTCATACTTACCTAAATACTATGTATCTAAGGCCTGTTTTTACATATTGGCTAAAATCCATATCTTACAGGGTTTACATACGGTTAGAGAAGTTTAGTTCAGATTTTGTTACTTTATTATGTCTTTACATCTCTTTTTTTCTTTTTCTTTTTTGCTGTTCCTGGGGCTTAACCTCAGGGCCTAGGGACTGTCCTAGAGCTAGTGATCTATCACTTGAACCTCAGCACCACTTCCAGCTTTTTCTAAGTCATTTATTGGAGATAAACATCTCATGGACTTTCTTGATCTGGTTGTCTTTGAACTATAATCCTTAAATCTCAGCTTCCTGAGTAGCTTAGATTACAGGCGTGAGCCATTGACGCCTGGCTCTCATATCTTTTCGTATAGTTTACATTATTGAACTTGGAGGTTGCTTTTGTTAAATGTTTTAAAAATATTTAGTGTTCTGGGCTGGGAAGGTGGCTCAGATTGCTTGTCTTGCATGCCTGACACCCTGGATTCGATTCCTCAGCAGAAAAAGCCAGAAGTGGCGCTGTGGCTCAAGTGGTAGAGTGCTAGCCTTGAGCTGAAGAGCTGAGGGACAGTGCCCAGGCCCCGAGTTCAGGCCCCACGACCGACAAAATAAAATAAAATAAAAATATTTAGTGTTCTTAAGTAATGATATAAGGGCCTTCCCCCTCCCCCTCCTCCTCCCTGCTCCCTCTCTCTCGAGTTCTGAAGGTAGCATGCATCATTTGGAAGAAGTAAAAATAATTTCTAAATTTTAGAATTGCACCCTAAATCTACCGTATCTATTTAATTTTTTTTTTTTTAGGTGATATTAGACAGTTACCAAGTATTGAACCTGGTAACTTGCTGAAAGATCTTTTTGAGACTCTTAAGGCAAGAAAGTGTGCTATTGAGCTGAAGACAAACCACAGGGCAGAATCACAGCTAATTGTGGACAATGCGGCACAGTATGTAACTAGTATTTTTCAGTTTTCTCTGTTATGTTAGAAATAAAAGGTAAAATAAGGATAAATGCTTGTTTTAGAATGACTCAGTAAAATATATTTACTCTTTTTTTTTAAATGGGTTATTTCTCTTTTTAAAACTTTTTTTAAATTGGGCTGGGAATGTGGCTTAGTGGTAGAGTCCTTGCCACGCATGCACGAAGCCCTAGGTTTGATTCCTCAGTACCACATAAACAACAAAAAAAGTGGAAGTGGTGCTGTGGCTCAAGTGGTAGAGCACTTGCCTTGAGCAAAAGAAGCTTAGGAACAGTGCCCAGGCCCTGAGTTCAAGCCCCAGGACTGGCAAAAAAAAAAAAAGAAAAAAATCTGTCTATCTCTCTGTCTCTACACACACACACACACACACACACACACACACACACACACACACACACACACACACACACACACTGTCTATCTCTCTGTCTCTACACACACACACACACACACACACACACACGGAGGAGTTACAGTTACATAAATCAGGTAAAGAGTACATTTCTTTTTGGACAGTGTCACCCCTTCCCTTGCTCTCTCCGTTTTTCCCTCCCATCCCTATCTATAAGTTGTATAGCTCATTTTCAACATAGTGTCTAGTGAGTACCACTGATACATTTGTTCACCCTTTGCCCTTCCATTTCTGTGTCTGGTCCCCCCCCTTCTCCCCTCTCCCACCCCATTTGCCCTTCCAAAGACCAATTAAACAAGACAAAAAGAAAAGAAAACAAAAACAGCAATGAAGGAAAAAAAAACCCCTCCATTCCATGGAGTTCATTTTGATAAATATTATTTTATACAATCAGATGCACATAAGCATATTGTGCCTTTGTGTTCCTCTCCTAAGAATTATCCTCCTTTGCTCTCATTATATGTGAGTGCCTATTTTTATTAAGACATTAAGAAAAATAATGGAGTTGGATGCATAATGTTCTTTTCTGATAACACTTGGAAAAAAATTCTGCTTCTACCCAAAGGCTGCTTCAATTTTAGTAGATGATTGGTCATTTTAAAGTCTATACAACATAGAAGAATTTAAAGCATATTAGATTTCTTAGAAAGTTTTGTGAGAAACTCAAGAATTCTTTTTTAATTGGCCTCAATTAGTTGTACAAGGCGGTTTCATTTTAACAGGTCTATTTACATATATAGTGTTTTGTGGTCAGCCATCCCTTCTATGATTCTCCCTCTCTTCTTCCCTTTTCCAAACAAATCTCATCAGATTTCCTTGTTCCATTGTCACACATATAATAAAGTATTCATTCACCCTTCCCCACCCCCCCCAGTCTGTTCGTCTGCCCCCCTTCCCAGCAGACTTGTACACCAGACAAGACATACTTTAACTCCTTGTTATTTTTCTGTTGAAGTGCATGGTAATTGTTTAAAGAGGTTTCCGCCATGGTTCTCATACATGACATGCATGCCTATCAGTATCGTTTGGTCCAGGCTTTGCTCCTGTCATCATTTCTTATTTATCACCATCCCCTTGTATGACTGATTGAAGGATCCCTGTGACATACCAGGAAAAGCTCCTAAGATGCTGCATGTCTTAGGTCAGAAGCAGAACAAGAAATTGCTATGCTTCCTAGATCCCCACAAATTAAACCTATGATACTTCCATCAAGAACAGCCTCACTCCTTGTGCTTTTTGCCCTTTCAGCTCTAGTCTGGGCAAGACTGAATGTGGCACAGAAGGGAATCCACCTCTGTCAGCAGGCCGCTGTTAGGTGTGTATTGAGAGTCAGTGGATCCTCTTTCAGCTAACCTAAGGAAGGCTTTGTTATGATGAAGTACCTATACCTCAGTGTCTTTTCTGATAGGATTTGTTGATCTGGAAAAATACAAGAATGAAAGAATAGGGGAATGCAAAGAAATGTGGATGCTTGCTTCAATTGGGAAGATGGGAATAGATATACAATAGATAGAGGAAAGAGAAGCATATGGGAAGGTTCTCAACTAGTGTAAGTTAATTTAAACTGATATGGCGCTGATGGCTCACACCTGTAAACCTAGCTTCTCAGTAGGGTACGATCTGAAGATCTCAATTTGAAACCAGACAAGGCTAAAAAGTCCATGAGACTCTGTTCCAATCATCCAACAAAAAGCTGGAAATGGAGGTGTGGCTTACACAGTAGAATACCAGCTTTGAGTGAAAAAGCCAAGTGAGAGTGCAAGCCCATGAATTCAAGCCCCAGTACTAGCATGGGGGGAGAAAAAAGGAATATGTAACCAAATGGGTCCAGATCTGCCTCCCAGTTTCTCTGCTTCCTACCTTTGAGGCCTTGGGAACTCAGTAGACTTGACTAGGCCTCATATTGCTCACCTGCACAATTAAGATTATACTTAACCTTCCATAGTTCTTTTGTGATCTGGAGCTGAGTAGGCCACATTCTTAGTTTGGTGCATTGTATATCTGTTATTATTTTTCTGATTCTTTTAATTTGCTAGGAGCAAGAGATTGATTGGTAAGTAAGTATAGGACAATAACTTCATGGTCTTCCAATTCTAGTATAAAACTCACTATCATGCTTATGGTGGCCTATCCTCTCTGCTTGTTTTCTATTAGCAGATATTATTATAAGGACATTAGACCAGATGATATATAAAGGTTTATTTGTGGATGACAGCACTTTTGCTTTATGTATTTGTCTTTATTCAAGAATCTCCAGACGCCAATTTCCCAACTTTGATGCTGAACTAAATGTGTCTGAAAATCTTTCAATCCCCATCTCAATCCAAGATAAGACATTCATTTTTGTCAGACTTCCAGAAGAGGATGTCAGTTCTCAGTCATCTAAAAACGATCATCCATCTTGTAAGTGTAAACTTCTCTATGTAGGGTTAACTGTAAGTATTTCAGTTTTGCAATGTAGTTATTAAATGACTAATTATAATTTTATTTGATGGTAAAGGCAAATATTTCCACTAAAAAAAATAGGGCATCAAGGTATTTTTGTTTTTTTTTTGGTCCGGTCATGAGGCCTGAACTCTGGGCCTGGGCGCTGTCCCTCAGCTCTTCAGCTCAAGGCTAGTGCTCTACCACTTGAGCCACAGCGCCACTTCCGGCTTTTTTCTTTATGTGGTGCTGAGGAATCGAACCCAGGGCCTCAAGCATGCAAGGCAAGCGCTCTACCACTGAGCCACCTTCCCAGCCCCTGGAGCATCAAGGTAAACATTAATGCAAAGAAGAACTTGGGGGAGTGGCTTAGGAAGTGTGAGACCCTGAGTTCAAATGATACAGAAATATTTAAAGTGAAAAATGAATGTTCTCCAGCAACTTTCTTTTCTCCTTTTCCCCTATGTCAACACATAAAGCTCACATACATAGCAAAAAGTTTTATCTCTTTAAGCCTTACTATATCCATATGTGAACATGCTTATTCTAGAGTTACTTAAATTGGACTTTAAGCTGCAAAACCACTGATTTTTATTTACTATATTAGAAATAATAGCTAATGTTTATTCTCACAACAACGTGTGAGATACTATTTCAGATGAGGAAGGGGGCTTTAGACCACTCATAACTAGCTTTCTTTGCTATTTTATTCAGATATTGGACTTCAGATGCAGTTTATTTTGCCCTGATCTGGTACCTATTCTTTGCATTAATGAAAGTGAACTTTTAAAAGAAAAAGAAAGTTGGCCATTTCAGAATGGTAACAAAGCTTAGCCAATTGTCTATTTTTATTTTTTTGGGGTCTGGTCGTGGGCCTGAACTCTGGGACTGGGCGATGTCCCTCAGCTCTTCAGTTCAAGGCTAGCACTCTACCACTTGAACCACAGCGCCTCTTCTGGCTTTTTTCTTTTTGCTGATGTGGTGCTGAGGAATCGAACCCAGGGCCTCATGCATGCAAGGCAAGCGCTCTACCACTGAGCCACCTTCCCAGCCCCGCCAATTTTCTATTTTAATTAAAAATCTCTTCTGGAAAATTAGTCTCTTCTTGAAGAAAATTGAGTAACTATTCCTTTGAGAGGCATATGCTACCTCTTTAGTCATAATTGAAATAGTAAATTTATTGCCATTACAGCAGGTATATTTTAAGACAGGCTTCATCACCAGGCTAGGATTTCAGAGATGCTAAAATTGCATCTAAAATCAATGGAGAGTACATGTACATATTGATGTGCAGCTTGTGGAGAGAGTGAACATACAAGGTGTGGCCTGGTGTATAACTGCATACCTTATTCTGGGAGACATTGGGAATTCCAGGACTTGGTGGGGGAGGGATGTGTGTGAGTTGAAATATGACAGTTTTCTGGAGATTATCCTTACCTTGTCTAAAAAAAGGAAAACTAGAAAGTGGCTTTGTTTTCCTAGAGCTGTGTTTTTAAGTTCCCCATGATTCCTTTGCTACTAGAAACAGCATAAGAGCCTGAAATGTTCCTACTCAATTTGTGTGTGTGCATGTGCACACTCGAGAGTATGGGGGCTTGAGCTTAAGGCCTGAGAGCTTCCCTTAGCTTTTTTGCTCAAGGATGGCACTTGATGACTTGAGCCACAGCTCCCCTCTGGCTTTTTGATAGAGGCTCATGGACTTTTCTGCCCAGGCAATCCTTAGATCAAAGTCCACTGGGTAGCTGAAATTACAAGAATGAGATCCTGGTACCTGTCTCCAAATTAGTCTTCTCTCTCTCTCATGAGTTTGCCATTTTTTGTGTGCCATTGTTGAGTAACTAGAAGAAGCCTTGTTTGTCAATGTTGCAGTGTAAGGAGAAGTCGGGAGTGTAGCTCTATAGTGGGAGGCTGGCCCTGCCACATTGGGAATATCACTTCCGTGAATTTTCATGTTCATATTCATAACATGGATGTAGTTAGTACATGGTTGAATAACCTAGAAGCTAGAAGGCTAATCTTTTAGTGGCTGGGTCATCGGAGGGCTTGTGGATAAAGGTGGGGCTTGTTTTGTAAGAGCAGTGTCCATTTTCCAGCCTGTACAAAAATAGCTCAGTACTGTGTACTGGTATGGCCAAGCCAAATATCACCTCTGATGTAATGACATGGGCTTCACCTGGGTACTGTGAATATGTTGACTGAGATAATATCTAAGACATTTATATAGATTCATGCATTTTGACTCATTACCACTAGTAAAACAGGGACTTGGAAAGTTTTATCTTTGTAATTCAATTACACATTTGGTACTCTGATATTTTTAAATTCATCATCCACAAATCAAGAGTGCATACTTAACTGAGCTCATTACATACAGACTTGGAGCGGTCCTGGCCAGAGGTAGATTGGGATCGCTTGAGTACAGATGCTTTCAAGGCTTCTCTCCATTTCTCTGATTGGTCTGGCTGATTTAGGGGATGGTTGCCATGGTGAACTTGTGTTCCATTTGGTGGGATATTGTTCCCAGATCTCCAAGCAGGAATTCTGAGTTACTTTCTCTATAGAAATAGTGTTACAGTATGATGACTTTCTGTGTTAACTTTTTCTCTTTAATTACCAGATTTATATTCTGCAGTTAAAACTTTACTCCAAGAAAGTGACTTTAAAAAAGCAGAAACATCACAATTCATTGCATTTAGAAGGTAAAACATTCATAATGTTTTTTTTAAACTTTTTTTATCCAGCATTAAATCTCATTTAGTAGCATATACTGTTTGGATTTGAAAAAATTATAATTTATCACTATTAATTCCTGTTTCTGCTGGGTGGGTGTCAGTGGCTCATGCCTGTAATCCTAGCTCTCAGGTGGCTGAGATCTGAGGATCATAGTTCAAAGCCAGCCAGACAGGAAACTCTGTGAGACTCTTATGTCCAATTAATCACCAAAAAGCTGGAAGGGGAACTGTGGCTCAAGTGGTAGAGTGCTGTCCTTGAGCACAACAGCTCAGACCCAGACCCTGAGTTCAAGCCCCAGGACTGGCATACAAAAAAATTCTCATTCATAATTTGAAGTTTCCCATTGTTAGACAACAGAGAGGGCACTTTATAAGCAGGACTTTTTCCACCAAATATTATCGTTAGGAATTCACACTAAATATCAATGGGACAATAGTATATGTGAAGATATGGGTCTGAAATTATATCAGCTGGGGGTATAGCCCAATGGTAGAACTCTTGTCTAATATGTAAAAGGCTGTGGATTTAATCCCTCACACTACAGTAATAATAATATAATAAATAAAATAAATAAATATAATATATAATATATTATATAATAATATAATAAAATGAATTAATAATTATAATAATGAAGTCATTGTGTAATACTTGTGTCATTTTTGTGTTTCAGGCAGGACTGTGACCTAATCAATGACTGTTGCTGTAAGCATTACACAGGCCGCCTCATCCGGTGAGCATCTCTCGGAACTTGAGAATAATCCCTTCCTAGTCTTATGTTGGCACTGACTTAGCTTACCACATTGAAAAATCATTTTCTCTCATCTGTGTCTCTTCAGTTACAACATATATATGTGTGTGTGTGTATATATATATATATGCATTTGTTTTTTTTTTTTTTTGGTCCGATCGTGGGGCCTGAACTCTGGGCCTGGGCGCTGTCTTCAGCTCAAGGCTAGCGCTCTACCACTTAAGCCACAGCACCTCTTCCAGCTTTTTTCTTGAGTGGTGCTGAGGAATCGAACCCAGGGCCTCAGGCATGCAAGGCAAGCACTCTCCCACTGAGCTATCTTCCCAGCCCTATGTATGCATTTGTATATATGTGCACACACATATGCATACACATATATGTGCATATACACATATATACTTTTTGGTCATAATATACTTTTTGTTAGGGAGTGGAACAAGAAGAGAAATAAGGAATGAGATTTTCTTAGTGGTTTCCAAGTTGGCAACCTCCAGCTTCTCCAAGATATACATGGGAAGCAAAGGAGAATTCCTCTAATTCCCATGTGCATGTCATAGTTCCAAGAACCTAAGCAGCAGGAACTTGTTTAGTCAGAAAGCCCCTCCCTCTGTGGATGGTAAGCAAAAGGGCAGGAATGTAGAAAAGATTGGGCACCAGTGGCTCATGTCTAATTCTAGCTACTCAGAAGGCTGAGATTTGAGAATCTCGGTTCAAGTCCAGCCCAAGCAGGAAAGTCCATAATACTCATATCTCTAAGTAACCATCAAAGAGCTGGAAGTGGAGCTTTGAGCAAAAAAAGCTCAAGGACAGCAGACAGGCAAAAGCAAGCAAGCAAGAATGAAAAAGGAAAGAAGGAAGGAAAAAAAAGAAAAAAAGAGAAAGCAAAGAAAGAAAAGAAAGAAAGGAGGGAGGGAAGTAGAGCATTAGATAATTGGGTGATTTGGAATGGGATTTGATGTGTTGATGTTTAAATATAATGAAATACAAACTTTACAAATGTTGCTCTGTTACCACTTCGTAACCTAGTGACCACAAGAGGAGACTCATATTTGGAGTTGGTGACAAAATCTGTTGTACTAGGAATGCGTACCTCTCAGATTTGCTCCCTGAGAGTGATTCTGGTTCTCAGCAAAGTCACGACCAAGAATCTGGAGGTGATGCTCAAGGAGCTGGAGGTGACAGCCCTTGTGGGACTCCTCGTTATTGTGCTAAATCTAAGAATGAACTTGAGAGTGGAATTCGACTGTGCAATGGAGAAATATTCTTCATAAGGAAGGTAGGCCTTAGGAGGCTATGGTGTTTTTCTTTTCTTTTTTTTGGGTCCGGTCGTGGGGCCTGAACTCTGGGACTGGGCACTGTCCCTCAGCTCTTCAGCTCAAGGCTAGCACGCTACCACTTGAGCCACAGCACCTTACTTCCGGCTTTTTTTCTTTTTGCTTATGTGGTGCTGAGGAATCGAACCCAGGGCTCATGCATGCAAGGCAAGTGCTCTACCACTGAGCCACCTTCCCAGCCGGGCTATGGTGTTTTTCTTGCCCTAGAATTAACTCAAAATTGAATCAGACTGGAGTTGACATTCTTGTTCTATGTTTTCTGTCAAGGATTTTTACATTCATGTTCCTTATGAATACTAGTTTGTAATTTCTCTAGTGACTTAGGTTTTGGTGTTAGAATAATGCTAGCATAATTAAGAAGAGAGGTGGATGATGTTCCTTTCAGTTGGACGTGCTTAAGTAACAAAAGCTAGACCCAGCTTTTTAGTTGCAGCTTAAATAAAGAAACTGGGAGTAGTTGCCATGTGTGTTACGGTGCAGACACCTTGTGAGACCAGAACTCACACTTGGTACCTGGTGTTTTGCTCAGCTGTTGCTCTACCAACTAAGTCATACCTCCAACCCCCTAATTTATTTTAAAATTGCCATTATTAGGGTTTTGATGCAGAGTGACAGAGATGACACTTAAGTCACATACCAGCCCTTTTTGTTTTGCTAGGCAAGCCAAAGTGGCAGAGTTGCCAGTCTTTTTTTGTTTTAGTTATGTTTTAGATTGGGCCATAATTTTGCCTGAGGCAAGCGTTGGATTGTGAACTTCCTATATCGGCCTACTTGCTTAGCTGGGTGGGATTACAGGTATGAATCACCCCTTCTAGGATGGTGGTTGAGAGAGGATCTTGATAATTCTTTGCCCAAGCTGACTGTGAAGCACGATTCCCTGGATCTCCCTCCTCCGGCCAGCAGATAGGATTATTGATGTTTGTGGGTATGTGCCATCACAGCTGGCTTCAAATTATAGTGCTTAAGAAATCTGTGAGAAAAAGTACTTTGTAGGGTCTTAAGGACTGAAAATATCTTTCCAGTTTATTAAAATGTGTGGCTATATTCAATTGAGTATACATTTTAAACCTTTCTGTCTCTCTTTTTGTGCTGGGGTTGAAACTCAGGGCCTCTAATGGCTAAGCACATTCTCTACAGCTGAGCAACCCTCCTAGTTCCACATCTGGAAATTCTGTTGTAATAGGCATACATGGTATTTTACTTATGAGGTGCTTCTGTTTTATGTTCAGACCAAAGAAACTGTAGCGGAATAGTTTAAATAGACTCTGTCCATATTTAAAGACATACACGTTTCCTTTGTTTTTGGTGACAGGATGTAACTGATATAACTTTCAGAAAGAGAAGACTTTTGACCCTAAGTAATATGGCTGGCTTGGAAGTAACCGTGGATTTTGGAAAGCTAATGAAATACTGTAACATAAAACATGCGTGGGCCAGAACTATCCACACCTTTCAGGTAAGAGTGCTCTTTAAATAGCTTAACAAGCTGGGAGTACTTTGCTCTGTTTCTTTTTAATTATTGTTGCTGTTATTACATATTGTTATTGCAGTGCTGGGGATTGACTCCAGGCCTGTGCATACTAGGCAAATGCTCTACAGAGTTGCTTTTTTTTTTTTTTAGCACCTTTAAATTTGACACTCAAGCGGCTCCAGGCCTGCTTCCCACTTTGCTCAGAAGTGACTGCCCTATTTGCGGTGCATCACAGGCCCAGTGTGCAGAAATCTTTGCTTTGTTTCCAAGGTTTCAACAAATAGTATCATTGTGTTTCTATCTTTCTGAAATTGCTTTTCTTTTTGGTACGCTCACTTTGTTGGGATTTAGTGTGATATACATTTAATTTAGAAAGCTTGGATAAGAGTTCTTAACCAACTTATGCTTTCCTGCTGACTTTGTAAGCCTCTCCCTCCCCTCACTTTTTTTTTTTTGTGTGTGTGTGCTTGAACTGGGGCTTGAACTCTGGGCCTCTTGCGCTCATTCAACTTTGGTTCATAGTTGACACTTTACCACTTGAGTCACATTCCAGTTCTGGCTTCTTTGCTGGCTAATTTTTTGCTGGCTAATTTTCTGCCCTGGCTGGCCTCAAACTGAGCTCTTCAGACATCAGCCTCCTGAGGAGCTAGGGTTTCAGACATGAGCTATCAGTCCTTGGCTGTGTATTGGTTGTTTTGGAGTAGGCTCTGGCTTTATGCCTGGTGCCAGCCTCCTGTGTGTGCTTCCCCACATCACTGGGGATAGCAGGCACATGTACTTCACCAAGCCATTTTGTTTGCTTTATTGCTAGGCTAACAGCCATGTAACCACTGCACCAGCTATTAGGTGAGATGGAGTCTTGTAAACTTCTTAGCCTGACCAACCTCAATTCTTGATCTCAGCCTCTTCAATAGCTAGGATCATAGGTATGAGCCATAGCTGCGAGTGTAATTAAAATTTCACTAGAACTTCTGCCCTTTTTTGTTGTTGTTGTTGTTGGTCGTGGGGCTTGAACTCAGGGCTTGGGCACTATCCCTCAGCTCTTTAGCTCAAGGCGAACGCTCTACTGCTTGAGCCACAGCACCACTTCGGTTTTCTAGTGCTTTATTGGAGATGAGTCTCACGGACTTACCTGCCCGGGCTGGCTTTGAACTGTGATCCTCAGATCTCAGCCTCCTGAGTAGCTAGGATTACAGGTGTGAGCCACCTGCGCCCGGCTTAACTTCTTCCTTTTTTGAATTGACTTTGCTTTTATGTTACATATTAAGGTTTTTTTGTATTCTTTCTTGGATGGGATTTTATTATGCAGTACCATCATGACCATTCTTCATATGTACTTTTTATATTTTAAATTTTTGTTATATTTTAAAGCATCTTTGATATTTGAAAAGTCACATGTGCATATATCTATATATACTAGAATAACACATTTGTACATAAGAAGCCCTATAGTCAGTTCATAGTTTTTGGTTGGGGAAAATTGAGCATCCTCTGAAATCTTTCAGGTTGGTTGCTGAGTTTCCATAGGCCAGTTACAGACCTGTGAGATGTGGGCTTAGCCTCATGTTTAGCCAACGTGAGTTGCGAAATGAGTAACAATCCCATAGGTGGATGGCTATAAATGCTTTGTCCAGATAGAATAGTGGCAGAGCGCTGTGAGGACTTAACCTCTGTCCCATGTGCCAAGTCTTACCCTGTGCTGCTGCCTTCAGGGCTCGGAGGAAGACACGGTGGTGTACGTGGTGGGCAAGGCAGGTCGCCAGCATTGGCAGCACGTCTACACAGCAGTGACCAGAGGCCGCCGCAGAGTCTACGTCATCGCGGAAGGGTCTCAGCTCCTCAGCGCAATCAGGAAACCCAATCTTCCCAGGAAGACTCGGTTAAAACATTTCTTGCAAAATAAGCTCAGCGACAGCCCTGAGGCTCCAGCAGATTCTGCTTCCCAGTCGAGTTGCTGTGGAGACGGGGCAGGACCTGGCACACAGCCTTCAGTACCCCGCGTCCCTCCAGCCATCGCCAACACTGCCACCAGTGTCGACACCAGGAACAGGGCTTCTCCAGCTAAGAACGGGACGTTGGCCTTTGCTGCAGAATGGCCTTGTCCCTCACTTGATGACTTGGAAGCATGTGAGGAGTTGGTACAATCTCGAGGTTCCAAAAGAACCAGTGGGGCAAATATCTGCGAAAGTCCAAGCAAAGTTCTGATGGTAGGAGTGATGTTCACGCATGCGCTGGTGTCTTTAAATCTCGCCGACTATGTCTCCCCAGACTTGAACAATTGTAGCCTGATGTTAGAAACAAGTGGTTTATCATCTCTGCCAAAGTTTTCCCTTTCCTTACTGTTTCCCCCTTGCTGCTGTGGGCAGCCTTGACTGATTGATTGGATTGATTGATGAACTTGCTTGGTGGATGGAGATGTTCCAGAAGAATGCTATCTTTCTTCCCTTGTACCTTCTTCCATTGTCTTCTCTTCATCCCTACCCTCTTTCCCTTTCTTTCCACAACTCCCTTGAAAAAGCTGGTTCTGATTGTCTTCTTGCAATTCTAGGGATCTTTTCTTAAATCTTGTGCTTGACTTTCCTTCGAACGTTTAACGTTGTTTTTGGCCAGTCTTGGGGCTTGAACTCAGGACCTGAGCACTGTCCTAGAGTTTCTTTTGCTCAATGCTAGCACTCTACCACTTGAGCCACAGCACCACTTCTGGCTTTTTTGGTGTACGTGTACTGAGGAATCGAACCCAGGACTTCGTGCGTGCTAGGCAAGCAGCACTCCACTACTAAGCCACATTCCCGGCCCAACATAAAAAGTCTTAACTGCTACTGCCCTTGGGTTTAGAGGCTCATAGTGTCCTCTCCGTTTTCTCACTCTTGTTCTCCTGCCCATCCTCTTAACTGGAATCTCCCCAAATCTGTTCTTTCGTTGGAGAACATACCTATACTTCCAGTGTCTGCCATCCCTCACCCTTTTGCCAGAGTGATTCCTTCAAGAAAGTCTCATCTCCTACTGCCTCCCAGGTGCTGGGAACTTGGAGATCAGTGACTGACAGTTCTGTGTGCTGACTGCCTGCAGTATAGACAGCCAGCTCTAGACATGAGTTGGTGACTCATGAACCGCTCTGACACTGACCTAGTTAATGAACCCATATCCTCACTTACATCTGATCCCAGAGATCGACCTTTCTGGAATCACAATCCGACATCTCACTCTCACTTCACATTTCCCCACCTTCATCACCCCTCATCTAGTTCTGTAACTTGGAAGTTTTGGAGTCAAGTTGGCCTCTGTTCTCTATCCCCAGGTAACATGGTCCCCAGGGCTTTTTGTTGTTGTTTTGTTTTCTAATTCCATGTAATCTTCCCTGTTTTAGATCCTTCTCTCATTGTTTTGGCAGATTTTTCCCTGCTTTGTTCCTGGTCTCCTAATATACCACATACACTGTCTGATCATGAACCTTGGGTGCTCAGCACATCCCTTGTTTAAAAGCCATCAGTGGCTCTGATCCTTTGTGACCACACCTGGTATTTGAGGCCTTTCTTCATTTGATTCCAGATTTCCCAGCATTATTCCATTTCCCACTGTTTTTTTCAGCTGGTGTCCTAGTTCACTGAAGTGAATCACACCTTTCCTTATCTCTTTCTTTTGGGCTCTTGCATTTTGGAGCTGGAGCCTGTACAACTTGCTGAGTGATATAAAAGGGTAAGATAATGACCTCGAATGATCTAAATTTCTGGTTAAAACAATTTAGGGAATGACAGTATTATTGCTTAAGGTGAGAAAAGCATGAGAACTTGTGTATGTGTGTGTGTTCTGGTACTTGGGCTTATACTCTGGGCCTCATTCTCTCATTTGGCTTTCTTGTACAATTCTGGCACTTTGTCACTGAACCATCCTTTCATTCTGTCTTTTTGGTGCTTAATTGAAGTCTCCCAGATTTGTCTGCCTGGGTTAGCTTTGAACCTCATTCCTCAGATCTCAGCCTCCTGAGTAGCTAGGATTATAGGCATGACCCACTGGTGCCCAGCTACAAAAGTTTAAGTATGCTTTAAAATAATTATAGTAGGTGCATAAGGTAGTAACATATATAATACCAACAGTATGTTTGTTTATACCAGCATCACCACATAGGAGAATTGAATTGCATTAGGCATGAGGCCAGAGGTGGGGGGCATCTTTTTATTCCCCATCTATCAAGCTGTGGAAGGCCCATGATAGGACAGACACATAGCTTCTTCTTAAGCTTCTTGTCAGCTGCCTATGGCCATCTGCCTGTATTATAATTTTGTGTGGCCCTCAAAAGATGTTATAAATATCCAAGTGACCTTTGGCAGCAAATGGTCCTCACTCTTGCAAGTAGACAACATGAATTTTTCAGTGCTGTTATAACCTTAGGTGACCTCACTGTATCTATGGTTTTTCGTCATTGACTAAATGTCATGTGGTACATGACTGAACTCTTCTAAGTGAAAACTTTCATGCCTTTTTTGGTTTTGTTTTGCTTTGTGCCAGTCCTGGGACTTGAACTCAGAGACTGAGCATGGTCCTCAAGCTTTTCTTCTTAAGGGATTAATGCTCTACCACTGAGCCACAACTCCATTTCCAGCTTTTTGGAGATAAAAAGTCTCAGAGACTTTTCCTGCCCATGCTGGCTTTGAATCATGATCCTCAGATCTCAGCCTTCGGAATAGATAGGATTAGAGGTGTGAGCTACTGGTGCCTGGCTTTGGAGTTCTTAGTATTAGAGGAACAGACATTCATTTTTTTCATTTTGAACTGGACTGCTGAGTTACAGTGAAGTCTTTGAAGTCAGATGACTGCACTTATTCATTGAAATTGCTGTGTAGAGTTCTGGGGTACCACAGTGAGCAAAAGTAGACTTGATGCTCTGAGGAGCTGGCAGCCAATGAACTGGTTGCTCATAACTTGCAAGAGCTGGGAGAAAGGTCTTCTTTCTTCTTTAGAAATAGTCAGAAGGTATAGAGTTATTTAGGGTAGACATTATATTTTTATAACATTAATTTTATTTTTATTTTTGTAACAGGTAGAAGAATCATCTCCACAAGTGTCATCTAGACTTCAGAATTTAAGACTAAATAATTTAACCCCTAGGCAACTTTTTAAACCCACAAATAGTCAAGAAACTTAATAAAATGAGGTTGGTGGTTCCCACCTGTAATCCTGAGTCTGAGGCAGAAGGATTGAGTTTGTGGCCAGCTGGACAATGTAACAAGACTCTCCCAAAACACAAGAAAACATGACAACGAAAGATTTACTGCAGATTGATCAGCATACTACTTTTGGCTTCAAAGTTTCAGGCTCAAAGATACTTTAAATGTACTTGGTCAGAGGAGACATTAATGATTTCATCTGTCATCATGAGAACTTGTAGCATTGGACATAATTATGAGAGAAGATACATATATTTTGAAAGACCTGGTACTTTTATAAAAGCATTATGGTTTTTAGGATTCATGCCTTATTACTCCCACAATCATGGTTGGGTATCTTTATCAATGGATTGAATCAGTGACAAAGATAAGCCATAATTGCATCTACTGGTATTATGGACACATGATCAAGGACATCTTGTCTTCTGCAGAGATGTCATTTTCAGGTTGTTACTTCATCACTGCTGCTGGGGCATAGCACACCTGGAACACTTCCAATGCCTTCCCAGTTGGGAGTACATTGATTTGGATGTCTCCCATTTTAAGAAAAACTGATTTTACCAGGCATTAGTGGCTCATGTCTATAATCCTAGCTACTCAGGAGGCTGAGATCTGAAGATCATGGTTCAAAGTCAGCCTGCGCAGGAAAGCCCATGAGACTCTTATCTTCAAGAAACCACCAGAAAACTGGAAGTGGCACTGTGGCTCAAGTAGTAAAGTGCTCACCTTGAGCTGAAGAGCTGCGGGACAGCGCCCAGGCCCAGAGTTCAAGCCCCACAACAAAAAAATTAAAAAAACAAACTGATTTTTAAATGTATGTGGTTACATGGTGCTATGATTTGAATATGTGTTGGACATTTGTCCCCAAATGCAACAGGGTTGGGTGGGGAGACCTAAGGAAGGGTGTTTAGGTCATGAGTGGCTAGTTATTGTGAGTGGCATCCCAATAAAAGCAAGTGCAGCTTCTTCTAACATGACCAACCAGGATGCCAGATGCCAACACCCTGAGATAGGCATGCTTTGATTTATTGTACCTCTCAGGTGTCAGGTGTTGTGCAATACACAGTTGAAATTTTGTAGCAACCCTGTGGGGAGCACAGGGTTAGACATCTAAGTTTTTAGCAATAAAGATTTTTTTGTTGGTGGTGGTAGTGGTAGTTGTTTTGTGTGTGTGCCAATACTGGAGCTTGAATTCAGGGACTGGGCACTGTGTATTTATTATCTTTTTTTTTTTTTTTTTGCTCAAGGCTGGTACTCCTCCAGTAGAATCACAACTCCTCTTTGGCCGTTTGTTGTTGTTGTTGTTTGTGTTTGTTTTTTTGGGGGGGATGATTAATTGGAAATCAGAGTTTAGACACTTTTCTGTCTGGGTTGGCTTTCAGTTGTGATCCTTAGCACTCAACCTCCTGTGTGGCTAGGATTACAGGCATGAGCCACCAGTGGTTGACAGCAATAAAGTATTTTAAAATGAAAGTATATGAATTTGTTTTTAAATCAGATGCGATTATACACCTAAATTGCTAATAGAGTATAAATATAACTCTGTATGTGTGTGAGGTGGTGGTGGTGGTGTTTAATATTGAACCTAGCTTGTTAGACAAAGACTACTACTGAGCCACATCCTCAAGTTCTAAAAATAACTTCAGTATGCACTGGTAAACCAAAAGTTTTTTGTGACTGCTTTTCTTGCAATATTGTATTCAGGTGTGTCTGTATTGGACTTTCCAGACTCAGTCTGAGAAATAGATATTTTAATTGAGTGTATATTCTTATGAAACATAATTAATGAGGACAAATAGTAAAAGGAAAAGTGAAGGAAAAATGTACTTGTTACCTTAGTGTTGTTGTTTTTTAACAGATTAGTGGAGATGTGATTTATAGGCAGTTCATACCATTACGAGTGTATTAAATAGTATATTCACTCAATTGTGCAGTAGTCATCACAGTTAATTTTAGGATAGTTCATGTCTTCCTCTCCCCAAATCTGCATCCTTTTTATCCATAATCTCCTACTCTTCAACAACCACTAATGTACTTTGGCTTTATATACTTGCCTTTATATACGTGCAGTTTCACATTCATTCTGCTGATTCATGAACCTGTATCGTTTAGTGTTCAATTTCTTTCTTCAGTGTTTTATAGTTTTCACTATAGAACTCCTCTCTCCCTCTTTTTTCAAAGAGTATTTGGTGGGTTTTATCATGCTCTCTTATGTGTAAAGTTCTTTGATCCTCTCCCCACTCCCAGAGCCCTCTTCTGAATACTCATCCCACTGGCTGCTGGCCGCAGGGCACTCATGCCCCATTATCATCATATTTTAGATCTGAGCAAAACATGTGTAATGGTTAGCTTTCTGAGCTTGGCTTATTTCACTCAATATGATGACACCCAATTCCTTCTATTCCTATAAGTTATGTAATTTTATTTTTCTTATTTCTAGGTATTTTATTTCTTTGGTTTTTTTTTTTTTGGTGCTGTTATGAATGAGATTGTATTTCTTTCTCAGCATGCTCATTACTGGTCTGTAGAAAAGCTACTGATAGGTTGATTTTTGTATCCTACTACTTTGCCAAAAGTGTTTATCATATTTAAGAAGTTTTTGATGGAGTCTGTGGGATCTTTTAGTACAGATACATATCATCTGCAAATAGAGATAATGTAACTTCCTTTTTTAAAATTCTGTCATGGCGTTTGAACTCTGGGCCTGGGTGCTGCCCCTCAGCTCTTCAGCTCAGGGCTACCACTCTACTACCACTTGAGCCACAGTGTCACTTCTGGTTTTCTGAGTGGTTAATTGGAGATTAGAGTCTCATGGACTTTCTTGCCCCTGCTGGCTTTGAACCGTGATCCTCAGATCTCAGCCTCCTGAGTAGCTAGGATTACAGGTATGAGCTCATATGCCCAGCATATACTTCTTCCTATTTTTTTTTTTTTTACTTCTTCCTATTTTTATCCCTTTTATTTCCTTCTCTTGCTTTATTGCTCTGGCTAGGAATTTTAACACAACAGTGAATAAGTGGAGAGAATAGACACTCTTGCCTTGCTCCTGAGTTTAGAGGCAATAGTCTCCTTTTCCCCACGTTGAGTATAATGCTGGCTGAAGGGTTATCATGTGTCTTTCAGTATGATGAGATGTGCTCTTTCTGTTCTTTCTTCAGGGCTTTTATAATGAAGTGATGCTTAATTTTATCAAAGCCCCTTTCTGCATCTGTTGAAGTGATAATGTGACTTTTGCCTTTGGTTCTGTTTTTATACTGTTTTACATTTACTGAGGCATATATGGAAACATCCTTGTATTCATGGAATGAAACCCACTTAATCATGGTATATGACTTTTTTTTTTGCTGGTCCTGGGGCTTAAACTCAGGCCCTGGGCACTGTCCCTGATCCTCTCTCTCTGTGCTCAAGGCTAGCACTCTACCACTTAAGCAACAGCACCACTTCCAGCTTTTTATGTTTATGTGGTATTGAAGAATCCAACCCAGGGCTTCATGCATGCTAAGCAATCACTCTACCACTAAGCCACATTCCCAGCTAATATATAACCTTTTTAATGTATTGTTTAACTTGGTCTGCAAGCATTTTATTGAGATTTTTTTTCTATGTTCATTTGGAAAGTAAGTCCTCACCTCCCTTTCTCCCTCCTTTCTTCCTTTTGTCTTTTCCTCCATCCTTTTAAAAATGTTTTTGTATTCCTGTCTTGTTTTGGTATCAGAGTAATACTGGTTTTGTAGTATGCATTTGGAATTCCTTCCCTTGCTATTTTATAGAATAGTTTGAGGGTCATCAGTGTTCTTTAAAGATTCGGTAGAAGTCAGCAGTTAACCTATTTGGTCCTGAACATTTTTTTTTATTGGGATGTTCATTATTATTGCTTCAGTACCATTGCTTGTTAAAGATCTGTTTAGGTTGTTTATACTATCTCAGTTCAATTTTGGTAAGTCCTATGTGTCTGGAAATTTATATTTTTTTCTGTATTTTCTAACATTTTGGAATATAAAATTTAAAAATATTCCATAATCATCCTCTGATTTCAGTGGTATATTTTAAATCCCCCTTCCCATCTTGACTCTTATTAATTTGTGTATGTCTTCTCTTTCTTTTGATTAGTTTGATTAAGCATTTGTTAATCTAACCAACTGTTATATTGATCCTTTGTATGGATTTTTGAGTTTCTTATTTCATTACTTTCTATCTTGAGCTTTATACTTTTTTTTTCATCTACTAATTTTGGTTTTGGCTAATACCTTGAAGTACATCATTAAATCATGAAGTTATTTGTTTAAGAGCTCTCTTTTGTATTTATCTTTACCATAGGCACTCATGGCTATAAACTTCCCTTGTTAGACCTGCTATATCTATGTGCTATATCACACAGATTCTGGTAAGGTATATTTTCATTTTCATTTGGCTCTGAAAATTTTAGAAATTTCCTCCCAATTTCTTCAATGGAAGGATGTATATTATTCACTTTCCATATGTATTATTCACTTCCATATTTTAGTTGCACTTCTAATTTCAGATTACATCATGATATGTTAATATACAAGAGATTCTATTGTTTTTGTATTTGTGAAGCCCTATTTTATATCCTATAATGTGGTTTATTTTGGAGGAATTTCCCTGGGCTACTGAAAAGAACATATATTCTCCCATGTAACCTTGTGCATCCAGAATGCAACTGTGTAAAAATGAATGTGACTCTAAGGGCTTGTGCCAGGGACTATAGGTATGATTGTTTTTTTAATAATAACACAAAGTTTACAATTTTAATAGTTAATATAAATGTACCTCATATAGTATGTGTAGTTTTCTGTGAAGGCAGATCTTATGATCCTTAAGTTACAATGTTTTACCACTTGGAAGGGTTCCTATGTGCAGATGTTTTTAGCCATTTTCACATACTGCTCCCTTACTCCTCCAACAGTCCTATAGTGCAAATATAGCCCTCAGTGTTACAGGTAGTTAATCTGGCTTCCAAATCTAACTGTGACTTTAAAGTTCATGGTCAACCCATTTGTTCATAATGCTTTTTAAAGGTTCTGGTAAACCCTTCCACTTCAGAACATTCTATAGGATTCAAGCTAGAACACAAAAATGTATTCAATGCACCATAGATGCATTTTTTTTTTTTGCTTTTTAAAATCACTGTTTATTCCATTTGGTAGAGGGATCTTTTTTTCCCCATACAAATATTTGCAACATTTTGAATTCCCCAAAACCATACATAGACGATAAATACCATGCTATTAAAGTATTAAATTTGTACAAAAATACTTTACAGTTTAATACTTGTTTGTTACAAATAAAAATACATATTTAAGTGACTCATGATCTTTTTTTTTTTCCTTAACATGATTCTGCTCTATACTTTCTTGCCCTGGTGGTTCTGAAATGTGATTGAAATAATATATTTCTTTGCACAAGAAGGTGAACTTCTTCCTTAAAACAAAGTACACAGTGTTTGAACGCTTTGCCTAAGTGATTGTTTGACTTATTGACCAAAATGAACATGTTTGGAAAATAATTGTTTCAACATTCTACCATCAATATACAGATCTATTTTTTATATTTACCAAATAATAGTTATTAGCGTAGCTATTCAAAATATCTGAACAAATTAAAACAGTTGCTGACGAACATTAAAAGCAACTGCCACAATTTATTGCTTTGAGGGATGGTCATAATTGGCAATGAATTTTGTGGAACATGTATTTACAGTGTCTGTAAGTGGCATGGCTCAGAACAAAAGATGGTCCAGTGTCATTTTTAAGTACATGTGCTGTACACCCCCTCCATCTTCCCCATGTTCAAAACTTGTCAAGCAGTATGATTTTCCTATCATTAAGATGAATCTCTTTTTAATAGACTCTTCATTCTCTCTTAAATTCTTAGTCTTGAATTTTAAAAATAGGATAGTAGAACTAATTTTCAGTGTTACTACACAGTCTAATTCATTATTAGCGATTTTTAGCTATTAAAAAATGTGTCCTTAAAAAACAATAACAGGTCACAAGACATATCCTGTTTGATAATTTGTTGCATAGGGAATAGTATACATCTAGATAAAATCATTCCTATATTTGAGCAAAACATTTACCACCACCTATTATTGTCTCCTACGTGCATCATTGCTGAAACATTTTCAGATAGCTTAATTTTATCCCCTGGACCCCTCCCATTACAGCAGTCCCAAGCAGCTTACTCAGTACTAAGCCCCCAGCAGAGCCAGCTTCATGAAAACCCATGTTGTTCAAGTTCTTACATGAATGACTTCATAGTAAGAAACTGATTTCAAAGTGAATTAAGGGAATTATCGTAAGAGAACATTTTTCTTTTTTTTTAAACAGACATTTCTTTTTGTAAAAAGTGATAGATGAACTGGTAAAAAATATTCCTTTGATGTTAATTTATGGGGAGGGGTGGTCTGTTTTTCTGTTTTTCCTTTTTTTTTTCTTTTTTCTTTTTTTTTTTCCTCTACCATTGGGCCTGGCATGGAATTGCCTACCTTATTACCATAGTGATTGGTCACCAAAAAAGAAACCTCTTCAAGTTGAAAAGGGAGTGAACATGAGCCATGAGAGAGATTTAAAAGACCCCTGTGCTTGTAGTCAATGCCGTATGATTATCTGTGCTTCAAATGTCACAGAAATCTCAGAGGGATTTTTTTTTTTTTAGCACCATGTAGATATTGTCTTTTGTCTTGCTTTATAAAAGTGTTGCTATAAGGTATTAGTGGGCTCTCGTGTCTCTAGATTACCACTGTGACTAGGCTGCTGGAAGAAAGCACTGTTTTGTTCACTCCAGTCTCCTCCAGGTAGACTCTGCTGCTCTATGGACTTCTGGGAAGCCAGCGGGTTTCTACTAATAACCAGGTCCAGCTTATTTCCAGATTCCGCTATGAGAGGCACCACAAGGCAGCAGTCAAAGTCCCTTGTCCGGACATGATTAACCTGGAAGATTATAGAGAGACAATGTGGAATTATGATTGTAGCCATAATCCCCCAAGCCCAGAGAGCACATGAGGCAAATCAATTGATTTTGAATGTCATACCCCAGGCAGAGAAGTCCCCCTCCTTGCTCTGACTACACTGAGACACGGCTGTGGGCTCACTAATCACTCCGTGCAAGCCCCTCACAAGCAGGACAAGGGCACATTCTGCCGTCTCTATGCCGAGGACTGTGCTCATGCTAAGTGGTTGCCTTGCCCTTGGAGTGTGGGGCGGTGGTTGAATTCTGCCTCCAGCGTACAGATGAAGAAAGCAAGACACTGAGATGTTAAAGAGTTTGGCCTCAAATAAGCAGTTGATAAAATCAGGGACTCTCCAGCATTCCAGGCAGCCTGGCTGATTCTAGGCCTCCGCTCTCAGCATGACTCCGAACTACCTGGCTTAATGTGAGCTAGCTCCCTCCTCAGCCTTTGAATGTGCTCATTCCTTTACCAATGACACTTCTGAAAACCCCTTACATTTTACCCCTACTCTTGACTTCATTCTCTCCATCTCTAAGATCTAGGGTTGGTCATTTGTATAATGGTAGATGACCCCACTGTCAAATCTCAGAACAATCTTGAGGCTCAGCCTCCTTGGCCTTTAGTATTTGCTGCTCTGGACACATACTGGTCCTTTAACTCTTGCTATGTCAGGAATGTGATATAGCAAAGGTGGCAAAGTCCTAGCTGATGGCTAGCTAGGGTAATAACTAATAACTTACTGACATCTGTTTTTATGGATAGGTTGTGTACCCCTGCTTTTCCTGCCACTTCCTTAAATAGGCCATTCAGACATTTGCCCTGGGACTTGAAGTTACCCATGCTCTATTCCCTAAGCAGCATAAACTGAGAGTTATAGCCTTTCTGTGTGTGTGTGTGTGTGTGTGTGTGTGTGTGTGTGTGTGTGTGTGTGTGCATGTGTACATGCCTGTACTGGGGCTTGAACTTAGCTTCTTGCTCTCACTTGGCTTTTTTGATCAAGTCACACTTCTATTTCTGGCTTTTTTTGGTGGTTAACTGGAGATAAGAGTCTCACAGACTTTCCTGACCCAGCTGACTTCTTCGAACTGTGATTCTCACATGTCAGCTTCCAGAGTAGCGAGGACTACTGGTGTGAGCCACTAGTGTGTAGCTACCTCCATTGACTCTTCATCCCTGTCTGGTGTGGCCCTGGAAGAGAGGGCTGCCCCAATTCAGGAGCCCTTCTCCACCCAAGATCTGTTGATGAACATACTTGAATTTAGGCACTACTGCTATGATGCACTTCAGTGTTTCGAAACTGAAGACCTAGGGGCTGCCCCAGGCCTAGTTTCCCCCAAGATGCTGAGGGAATTAAAAGATGAGTCCCAATATGAGGACTAGGCTATCTATCTATCTATCTATCTATCTATCTATCTATCTATCTATCTATCTATCTATCTATCTATCTATCTATCTATCTATCTATCTATCTATTACCTATCACAAGCGTAAACTGCTCAGGTGCCACACAAGAGCTTCAGAGCTCTGGCGATGGAAGTCAGTCTCTCCTGTGAGGAGTCTTCTGGTTGCAGGTCAGACAACTAGGCATTAAACTGTCCAACATGAAAGGAATGCTGAATACACATATCCCACACTCCCTTGGCTACCCATCAGGTCAGGGTTCTCAAAACATTTGGTTCTCATGACACACTGTTTCCCACCATTTCTACTGTTTGCTCAGTCTTTTCCTGCTTAGACTGCTTCTTGTCCTTTAACTTTTTTATCGTTACAATTCTATCCATGCTCGTTACAATTCTTCGATCCATGCTCTCTTCTTTTCTTACTATAAGATGGGTCATAGGCAGCTTTAAACCATTGCCTTCAGCATCCAAACTCTTTAGTGCTGACTCTAAATATCTCTTCTAAGCAACAGATCCAGCCTGTTAATTGCTTCCCAAGGCTGCTCTGTCAGAATGTGCTGAAGCTAAGAAAGCCTGAATGAGTCTGAAACAGGCTATCGATGCACCCTTTCCCTGCCTCATGCTCTCCTTGCCTGTGATTTTTTTGCTTCTCACCATATCTCCATCTTGTCTTAAGTTACATATTACAGCATTAAGAAATTACCACGCCTCTAGAATAAGGTTTGAGAGTTTTCTCATGGCAATCAAGGCTCTTCATCATCTGAAGCCAGTCTCCTTTTATGTCTTTAACTTGATGAAGCCAGTCTCCTTTTATGTCTTTAACTTGTGTGAAAGTAGGTCTGGCTCCAACTTGTAGAGCTGGAAGGTCTTACTTATAGAGGCTTAGGAACTTTCCCCAGTTGTTAATTCAGCAATTACTAGACTGTCCATGGAAAACAAAGTATCCTCCAACTCTAGGACAAGACTGATTGCTTCATTGCCAAGACAAAAAAAAAACTCTCAGCACTGGTACTGGACTTATCCAGTTGATGAATGACAACTTGTTTCAGCCTCATGTGATGAGAGCCAATTATTAGTGACAGACTCATTTCAGTTGAACATGTTTCTCAGGGTGATGTCAACCTACTCTTTTGCTTCCTAAAAAAAAAAACTGTGCATAAAAGCAGGAATTTGCTTTGCCAAAGTGAAACGAAACCTATGCTAATACTACATTAAAATTTAAGGTTCAGATATTAAGATTTTAAGGTGCATGATAATACTACACTAAATTTTTTAGCTTCCTCTTTGTACTATTAATGTATGCCAATAAAAAGGAGAAAAGATTTGGCTTCAGATATTGTGTGAGATAACTGAGATATCAGGCACTGTATAATGGCCGGTGAGTGAATAAGGTGCCAGCTCTTATACAATCTGTTGGGAAACTTACAGGACTCAGACAGCTGTAATAATATAAGCTCTGCAAAACTTCTGTCCTATACAGAATATGGGATATGTGTATAGATAAAGAAGAATAAGAGGAAATTGGCCAACTAAGACTTTGAGAAGAAGTCATCTAAACCAGTAGTTTTCAACCTGGCTGCTCCCTGTTGGGGAGGTGGAGAAGCTCAATGGTTTTGCTTCCTACTCCTAAAGATGCTGACTTAGGTGGTCTAAAATCTGGTCTGGTCACTAAGATAAATTCTCCAAGTGATTGTATGTATCAGCCAAGGTTGAGAACCACTGATTTGAGTGAGGACAACAGGATAAGTTAGAGTTGGGCTGTCAGGGAGTGGGGAACAGAACCATGCTTCTGGAAATGGGAACAGAAGATTGCAATGTTCAGATCCACATGCTTGTATTTTTTTTAAAGTGATATTAACTGCTTATGCGACAGGCATTGATTTTAGGATGAAGAATAGAGTGATGAGTAAAATCCTTGCCTTCATGGAATGAAATTCATATGGGCAAGAAAGAGTGAGAACTAACTAGTAGGAGGGCTGGGGGGGGGGGGGGGTAGAGTTCAGTGGTAGGGTGCCTGCCAAATAAGCACGAGGTCCTGAGTCCCAACCCTCATAACTGCCAAAAAATAAGTGAAGAAATAAGACCCAAACAATGAGGATGAAGTCTGCTGTGCTGGGAAAAGGAAGCAGGATAAAGGAGAAGAGACTGACGATAGAGCATTCTGGCAACGTACAAAGGCAGAGACCTGGAGAAGAGAAGGAGACTATGCATGGTTAGCAGTGCTGTAATACAAGCTCAGGAACAGCAGAGGCAAAGGTCCTGAGGAAAACGCACATGGTGTGTTAAGGAATGTCAGGAAGGCCTGGATAGGAAATATGCATATGTTCTAATGAAGAATCTAGAAGGGGCAGGATGTAACATTACTGGCACAAATCCAGTTGTAGTTAGAGAGAGCCAAGGCAGGATACTGGCAAGAGAGGGAAAGTGGCAGGGGTGTTGTTGGTCATGCTAAAGAAGAGAGGATGGAAAACTTTGCCAGAGCTGAAAATTCTTTATTCAGCTGTCCTTCACTCTTAATTCCACAATGGTGGTAACAAGTTTTCAATGAGGAAAGTACAAAGGGCCCAAGGGTATGTAGGATTTGGAGGAAGTTGCCAGGTATAAGTCAGTTACAAGGAATTCAGATCCCCTCTGAGTTCCTACCTGTAAGAGCCTGTCATAGGGCTTTAAGCCACCAAGATCACCTGGCCCCGCTGGACGAATATTTTTCACATACACGCCTTTCTCCAGCAAGCCATCTGCAACACTGAACCCAAAGTCCTCCATGCCAGAGTCCTTGAACAAGGTCACCTGAAAATAAGAAAACAGAAGGAGAGAGTTAGCAATGGGCTGGAGACTTTTGTCTCTGAAACTCTTAGTGAATAATCCAAAGTTCGGTAACATAGCAATTAGGAAGCTCCTCCATACCAGTGTTGTTTTTTTTTTTTTTTTCTCTAAAAGTTATCCTTGGAATTTGGAAAGTCCTATCCAAAATTGACAAAAGAACTAGAGATTCTTTTTGCTCCTTATTTGTTCCTCCTCTTCTTCTTCCTTCTCTAGTACTAGGGCTTGAACTCATGTTGGTTTGGGCCTACAATCCTCAGATCTCAGCCTCCTGAGTAGCTAGGATTGCAGGCATGCATCTCCAGTGCCCTATTCCATTTTGTTTTTAATTTAACTTAATTTTTTAAAATTTATTTATTTATTTTAGGTCGGTCGTGGTGCTTGAACTCTAGGCCTGGGTGCTGTCCCTGAGCTATTCAGCTCAAGGCTAGTGCTCTACTACTTGAGCCACAGTGCCACTGCCAGCCTTTTCTGTTTATGTGGTGCTGAGGAATTGAACCCAGGGCCTCATGCATATGAGGCAAAGACTCTACTGCTGAGCCACCTTCCCAGCCCCCTATTTTGTATATAAATTTCAGCCTTTAGGTAATATAGAGGAGAATTTCCTAAGGAAGGTGCCTTGTGCTATATTCCTGGGCAGCACCTGTTTGAGGAGAAGCGAGAAATGCTGGGATATTAGGTAATAAACCAAAGGCCTTTTCTTTTCTCCACTTCTGCCTGGAGCTGTGTTTTCTGTGAGCAAGTACCATGTAGTCCTTATTGCATTTGCCGTGGTACAACATTATAATCAACAAAACACATTTGAAAAGTCGTGAAAGTGCTCTTATAACAAACACCTGGTCCTGGGAATTGGCTTGATGGGTTTCCTCAGTGCATGTCTTAGGGTTTGGTTTAGCAACAAAGGTATCCAGCCTTCCATGCTATAATCTTGGGCTAACTCTCTAGGCACCCAAGGCAAGTCTACCAGCTTTCCCCAACCCTCATTCCAACATCTGACTTTTTTAGTCTCTGGTTAAATGGACAAATCATTTGTAGATTCACCATGTTCTAAAGCACAGGAAAAACAGTGAGCCAGAGAAAAAGAGGCTATCTTCCCAAAGCAACCACTTTGGCATGTATATAATGGTCACACACCCTCTAGGAGCTGGACCCTATGTCTGATGCTCTACTCATAACTTTACACTTCCTTATGCTGTGAGGTGGGGGGTCTGTTTTAATTAAAGTTTACAGGATGTTCTGTACAAAGGACTGATACATACTTGAACAATGATATGTGCTTCCTTTGTGTGTGTGTGTGTGTGTGTGTGCACGCGCGCGTGCACATATACACTTGATACACTTGTCTTCAAGCTTGGACTCAGGGTCTTATGGCTGGTGCTCTACCATTTGAGCCACAGCTACCATGGACTTCCTGCCCAGGCTTGTTTTGAACTTTAATCCTTCCATCTCAGCTTCCTGAGTAGCTATGATTATAGGCATGAGCCATTGGTGCCTGGCTGAGTTTACTTTTTTAAAACCACAATTTAAGAAATCTGTTTATTTTATGTAATTAGTGCATGGATACCTGCTTGGAAAATAGTAAAAAAAAATAGATCTAGGCAAGGCAAGGATAAGGACTATTATTACAGGTTTATTTTCTTACATCCAGTTATTTTACTTCAGAAAGGTATGAACATTGAAGGAAATACAAATGTGGTCAGTTTGAGGATTTTATTTTATGGAACAGAGAGTTAAATATCATGCTGACGTGGTCAATACTATTTACCAGCCAGCTATAGTGCTTATAGCCATCTTAGAGGTGAGGAAATTCAATTTTATAGAGGTTAAGTAATCCACCAAGGCCACAATGGAAATGAATGGTGGAGCCATGTCTATCAAAATCTAGGCACCAAGTGATTAAACATTATACTTTACCACTCAAAATGCTTTCTTTCATTGATCCCATCATGTAGACCTTTGGGTTTTGGTTTTGTGTTGTTGGGTTTTTTGAAGTATTTTTAAATCTCTGAAACCAGACTGTTCTGTAATTGATGGCATTTTGGATCCTATGAAATATGTCAAGTATATCAATATGTCAACTCTACCTGCCTCTTTCCCATAAGCACATTGAAGGAAAGTGTCAGAACTTTGCTACAACTTGTGTTAAGGGGATGGGAGAGATGTGCTGTGCTACTTATAGGAACTCCTGAACAGGAGCATATCTCAGGATCCTGGGAACAGACAAGCTGGGGTCCTGCCCCAGACTCCTAGATGGGATCATTATATCCACCTGCCACTGGGATGGAACGTTCCAGGCTCACTCAGTCAGTGTGTGTGTGTGTGTGTGTGTGTGTGTGTGTGTGTGTGTGTGTGTGTGTGTGCATGTGAACTGGACTCTACTATGTGCTACATCCTATGAAAAGGACTAAGGATATAAGGGATATTGTGTGTGTGTTGGGGGGAGGAGGGAGTAGGCATTCCCCTGTGAGCACAGCTATTGTGAGTTTCTAAAGTATTTGATTGAATCCTCCTAACATTTAATCCCATAAAATGAGTAAAAGTCTTAATTTTAACTGATTTTAACTGAGTTGACAAATAGAAAGTTGGTTGTTGTTTTTTTTTGGTTGGTTGTGGGGCCTGAACTCTGGGCCTGGGCGCTGTCCCTCAACTCTTCAGTGGTAGAGGAATAGCGCTCTACCACTTGAGCCACAGCTCCACTTCCGTTTGTTTCTGCTTATGTGGTGCTGAGGAATTGAACTCAGGGCCTCATGCATGCAAGGTAAGCACTCTACCACTGAGCCACCTTCCCAGCCCCTAGAAAGTTGTTTTAACCTGAGCAAATGATCTGATTGATTTCTGTGTATCAGTTTTTAAATTAACATATAGGGAATTTCATTGTGACATTTCCAATATGTATCTGTAGATCACTTTTGTAGGACTCAGTTGTGCAAGTATAAAGTAGTAACCCTAACTTTATTAATGATGTGTGTGTGTGTGTGTGTGTGTGTATGTGTGTGTGTGTGTGTGTGTCTTTGAAAAATCTGCTCTATATATGACATGAACATTGTGATGACAGGGAGAAGCAGTTAGGTCAAAGCGTGGGCTTTGTGGAAGTCACGAGAGATGACAGGTATATAATGCCTTCTATGATATCCCATCAGTCAGTGAGAAGCTGTCCCACTTTCGGTGGGTTCAGATGATTAACAGCCTAATTCCTTGACTGCATCAATATTTAATCTAATAGTCTAGCCACTGATGATCACTGTTTGAATCAATAAATTTTGTACTGGGGTTTCAAGTAATAACTTTTTTCTGCTCCTAACTTCCATATTTATTAGCTAGAATTATCTTGCATCTTTTAGGTAATCTTTGTCCCACTTGGAACCAGCTGTGGGGAGAGATAGAGGGAAGTACATTTCTATGGACTCTGACTGGTTGAGTAAGGGGATCAGTATCTGCTTTGAATACCTTGTTACAGTCTTGCGGTGCATAGAATATGAGTATTCAAAGCCTAAGCCTGTAATGGATTTTAGGAATCCATTTTGGTTTTTGGTCAGAGACATGTTTTCCAACATTTTCCTTAATCCTTGAATTTCACTGGTATGGGCTTGGAATTGTGAAATTCCTTATTGCTCATTTGGCCTATGATTCTTGGGTATTTGTTCCTTAAGCCAGAATCCAGGAGAGGCAACAATATGAGCAACAGCTAAAACTGCCAACACCAACACATTAGCCAAAGCACTCCAGACAGATGCTTACCAGAGTGGGCCAGCAGCACGCTTATCATCTTTAAAGTCACAGATAAGAGTCTTAGGACTTTCCTGCCCAAGCTTGTTTTGAACCTGGATCCTCAGCTCTCAACCTCCTGCATAGCTAGGATGATAGGCATGGGCCATTGATGGTTGGCTGGTAATAACAACTTAACAAAAATGAAATCAGCAAAAACAAACAAACAAACATACAAAAAAGAGCCAGGTGCCAGGGGCTCATGCCTATAACCCTAGCTACTCAGGAGGCTGAGATCTAAGGATTATAATATGAAGCCAGCCTGGGCAAGATATTCTGTGAGATTCTTATCTCTAATAAACTACTCAGAAAAAGCCAGAAGTGGCATTGCAGCTCAAGTGGTAGAGCACTAACCTTGAGCAAAAGGAAGCTCAGGGACAGTGCTTAGGCCAAGTTGAAGCCCAGGACTGGCAAAATAATAAAAAATAAAAAAGCCATAAAAGAGGAAATGACAGAATCAACAGCACAACAGTACAGAAATGGAAAGCAGAGCTAGCTACTCTCAAAGCAGCAATAATAACATATGCCATGTCACTCTGTTTGCCTGGAGATTGGTAGAGGATACTTTTGATTTATTTTGTGTCAAGTTCTAAGATTTTGAGGTTTAAGTTATATTTTTCTCAACTGATGAATTTCTTGCAGATGATTGCTTTTGATCTCCCCACAACTCTGTGTGAGAAAATCATTCTCTTTCTACTAATAAGGATACCAAGTCTGAAAAAAGTTGATGAAGTGATTTGTTCCAATAGCATGCAGAAACTCTAGGATTCATTACCACAATACCTGACCTCGTTTGCTGTGTTTCTCACACTCAACCATGTTTCTGTTATTTTTCTGACATATAATCTAGCTGGTCAGGAAGCCTTTATTCATTTCCAACTGCCCAACAGGCTAAAGATGAATAATTTATCATGTTTGCTGAGCTTCTTCTCATCACATCCCTCTTGTGGTTTTCTATGAATATCACATAAACTCCTGCTTTCCACTTCTTAAGACCACTATCCTAAGAGTTGGCTTATGTGAAACAAAACTTTTTTTTTTGGTATGGTTTTTATTCTAATCTCAGGGTTCCTCTGGGAAACCTGGGCCGTGAACATAATTGTAGTTTTTTTTCTTCTGTTCTATAAGAGCCAATTCACCTCTGGAGCTACATATTCTGGTCTAGGATACAGTTCTAAAGCTTAGTTCAATATTAATTGTGC